GAGAATCCGTGATAGATTAAATTTGTGGTGGAGATTGATTGTGACGTGGTCCTACTCATTCTACACAAAGATCTCTTCTTTCTTGTACAGTGCCAGATATTTTCCACCTCCATCTTAATTACGAACCACTTCTATTTTCTTAACACTTTTATTTGAATTGATTTGCGAAGAAATACTATTTATGAAGACAGAAACACGACATTCACACACGTTTGGTTGAACTGATTTGCGACGAAATGCAGGCGAGGAAAAGGGGGAGATGAGAGAGAGAGTTTCTTCGCTGAGGTGCGAAGAAAAGAGATGAAAGTAATGAAAAGTCGCAGTTACCCTGTAACATATGATAGCGATTAAATCCTAACCGCTATTATAACAGCACTTCTAATAGCGGTTAAGCCTTAACCGCTATCTAATATACACTTTAGATAGCGGTTACAGAGGAACCGCTATTATATCAAATTTCGCTCGAGCGAGATATCGTCGCTCAAGCGAAACACAACCCCAGACGCAACAAGGTTCTTAAAAGGAGCTTATAATAGCGGTTAAACCTTAACCGCTATCTAATATACACTTTAGATAGCGGTTACAGAGGAACCGCTATTATATCCTCTAATTATGATCGATCATTTCACATTATGATCGATCAGGATGGTATTTCGCTCGAGCGAGAGTATAGTCGCTCGAGCGAAATACAACCCGAATCTTAAAATATTTTTTGAATATTATGTTTTTAAATTTGCTATTAGACAAAACCTTTCGGAATTCAAAATGTTAAATAATTTTAAATATTAAAATTAACTTTATCAAAAATTAGGGAAACAAAATTTATCCAAAAGAGTTCAAAATGTATAAGAGTATTCTCAATTTTGATGTTTAATTATATTATTAATTCTCAAAGTAGAAAATTATATTGTAATTATTTTATCTCAAGTTAATGTGATGAGACGATCATCAACATTTCAACATTCTGAGTCAGATATATGGGACATCTTCGTCTCTCCCAGTTGTTCATGTTCTTGCACTCAACCTTTCCACCAAGAACCAACTTCCGAGTTGTAATTCTTTCTTGGAAAAAGGATGCTAACGATTGCTTAAATTGATTGCTTTGTTTTTTAAAAACTGATATGATAAAAGTTCCAAACAATTTCGTTTATAAAAGAGTTTTCGAAAAAACTGCATTAATTAATCTGTTCAAAGTTTGTTTTAATCTGTTGAAATAGCCGTTATAATATGTTAAAAGTCCTTTCAACCCATTAATGTGTTCTTGTTCTTTAACGTAATTGTTTTAGTCGATACGACCAAGTTTTTATCAGTTAAAACTTTTTACAAACATTTTCTAAGAGTGATTTAATCGATTGATTCGCGGTTTAATCGATTGATTCAGTTTAAAACTTTCTTATAACACTTTTCAAGTTATTTTAACTGATACAAAGAAGTTTTAATCGATTAAAAACTGCACAGAATTTTTTCTAAGTCATTTTAATCGATTGAAATTCGTTTTAATCGATTGAAACTCTGTACAAAAAATTTTCAAGTCATTTTAATCGATTGAAATTTGTTTTAATCGATTGAAATAAGTCTGATCGGTCATAATTCAATTCTGATCGATCATAACCAACTCTGATCGGTCATAATTACATTCTGATTGATCATCCTGACTTCCAAAGTGGTTTTAATCGATTAAAACGTGTTTTAATCGATTAAAATAAATCGAGCGATATCATACTTTGCTACTCGCTCGAGCGAGATCAGTTTCGCTCAAGCGAAAAACAACCCGAGGATGAAAATTATGTGCAGGTGTCTTCGCTCGAGCGAGTTTAATGTCGCTCAAGCGAAATATAACTTGTAATAACGGTTAAACCATAACCGCTATCTAATATATACTTTAAATAAGCGATTACTGAGGAACCGCTATGATATCCTCCAATTATGATCGATCATTTCAAGTTATGATCGATCAGGATGGTATTTCGCTCGAGTGAGAGTGTAATCGCTCGAGCGAAATACAACCCGAGATCGAATCTTAAAATATTTTTTTGAATATTATGTTTTTTAATTTGTTATTAAAGAAAACCTTTCGAATTCAAAATGTTAAATTATATTTTAGATATATATATATATATATATATATATATATATATATATATATAATTTTGAACATATGATAGGGGTTCCAGGTGAACCGCTATCTAAAGTGTCGAGGTTTTGGAAAAGTGATCGATCATTTTGGCAAAATAATCGATCATTTGAAAACTTGTACCTAAATGACGAGCAACTTATGCTTCAGATGTTATAATCATTTGTGTACTCACCCATCACATGTTAGACGACTTTTTGGCTTGCCCTCACATCTTCGTCTCTCCCGAGTTGTTCATGTTCTTGAATGGAGGTGATTGAATGATCTGAACTGGAGGACTTGATCGCAAAAGATGGATAAGATTATAATTATTTGTTTGAAGAGCATTAGTGTGCATAGATTTATAATTTTAGTAATCTTTCCTTTAATTATTATTCTATTTTCACTGTATTTTATATTTGTTTTAAATAATAATGTACAATTATATTATTAGTTTTCATAATTATTTGTTATTATCAATCAATATTAATTATTATTTTATATTTTATAATTATTTAATTATTAGTCAAAAATTGTATTTAATATGTCAACATTTTTTGAATATAGATATGCAATGTACATAATTTTGTAATTGTTTATTTATATAATTTTTAATAACTATCTAAAAGAAGTTAATTTTTTAAATTTGTTTCCAATTACAAACACTTTTAATTTTGTTTTTTCTTTTAAATATATAATCAATGTTAAAATATGGATAATTAATTAAAATTTTATATTTATAATCATTTGAATTGAACCTTATTTTATACAAAGAGTAAAATGGTAATTTTCTTAAAATAATCAACATAAAATTATAATTTTTATATCTCATATCAATCAAATCATTCACAATTTCCCATAAACTTTCCTTTCACTTTACATTCATCTCCATTTCTCTTCAAATCCCTCCTTTTCCACTCTCTCAAATCACTACATCCAAACAAAGCCTTAATATTCCTTAAATAACTCTTTCTATATTTTTTTATTCTTTTTCTCTCACCATCCAACAATTTCCATCAATATAAAGTATTTAATTTGAATTTTATAAATAAAAAAACATAATTAAAGAAACAGATCCGACTAAAATGGTTTAATCAGCCAACATGGACCGATTCAAATTAAATTAATTAAAAAAAGATAAAATTTAATTAATAAACAATATATAAATAAAAAGTAAAAAATAGTTCGAGAGAGACGAGGTTTTGAATGGCAAGCATTAAAGGCACGAGAAACAGACGTAGCAAACTAAGATAACAGAGAAACCAGAAAAGTCATTGTTTCAATCAGTTTCAATCAATTTATGTTGTTAAAAGAACACTACATTGAATAAAAAATTAGAAAGAAAATAAATATGATTTTTTTTATATGTATGTTCTGTTAATTCAGTTTGTACCTTTTACAAGCTTTAAATTTCATGACATTATTTTTAACAGAATAATTTATTATTTAATTTTCAATCTTTTATTATTAATTTGTACCCGAAAAATATTGTTAATCGATATTTTAATTACTGTAGAAAACAAAAGGCTAATAGTAGTGCAAGTAACGAATATTGCTCGTGCAATAGCTTCGTTATATTAGGCATATAAACATATTTTCCTCGTGTTTTTTCTTTTTTTAGACATGGGTGTTAGGCACAAATATTTTTTATTGGTTCGGACACTTATAAAGTTATAATAGCACGTTTGATTGTTTGATATATTACATAAATTATTTATAATATTATTCTTATAACTAGCTTCCCTTAAGAATAAAGTGTATAGGGAAGAAATAGAAATAATGTAAATAAAAAAATAGAGTAAAATATACATATTTAATTCATATTGAAGATAGAAGATAACAAATTTATTAATTTAATTTCATCTATTATAATTTTTTTTACGAAATTAAAAAATATATAATTTGACTTTAGTATCGTTAATTTTTTTTTCATATACAATTATTACTTTTTATTTTGTCGTGTGTTTTCTAAAAAATTCTGAAATAAAAGACTAATTTTTCTCATATTAAGTTGACTGTTATTGGTTCAACAAATTTTCAAATGAAACTCAAATATGAACTTTTCTTTGCATTGATCTCAAGGTGTTTATAAAAAATTGGACCTAGTCTTTTTTTAATTTCTTCTACTTGATTCCTATCTAACATGCACACGTTTGTTTGTTTCATTGGTCCCAAGAAATTTAGGGGTCCACGTAGGCAGTTTGAATTAGTTTTTAGCTAAATACGATTTTTTGTTTAATTTACATAAACCAATTTGATAAATAACAAGTTAATTGAGGTTGACTTTATCGTCTTTAAAAGGTTAAAATTGCTTTTATTTTCTTAAAATGTAAATAATGGAATTAGAAGGTGTCCCATAAGGGTATTGAACATCCAATCAATCAAACTTAATGACAAGTGGGTATGAAAATAAGGACTAATGAATAATTGTATATTAATGTTAGATTGAAAAGATATTTTATAGTAAGCTATGTCCCGAAACACAAATAATATTTAAATAAACCATGATTGTTATTGTAAAAAAAAAAAAGTTGGTTGATGTGTTGAATATCTATGGTGTTTAATTTTGCATGGCATTAGAAGATGAAATTCGTAGCCACAAATAAAACAAAAGGACAGAAATAAGCATTGAAAAGCAAAAGGCATAGTTTTGCTTGCGTTGCAAAAAATAAATATGCTATGGTCGTCACGAGTGGTATTATTAATACAAGACACTGTCACTTACATTACATAGACACTCCTTTCGTTCCGTTTCGTTTCGTTTCGTTCTCTTTCAGTTTCAGTTTCAGTTTCTCTGCACTTTTTTTTTTTTAGTTTTAAACTACAGAAGAAAAGATCGCAATTTTTGTTGTTAATCTTTGAAATTAACGTTCGTAAGAATATTATTATGACGAAGGGCAAGGCTTGCGAGCTTTGTAATCAGCAAGCGTCTCTCTATTGTCCCTCGGATTCCGCATTTCTCTGTTCCGATTGTGACGCCGACGTGCACTCCGCCAACTTCCTCGTCGCTCGCCACTTCCGCCGACGCCTCTGCTCCAAATGCAACCGTTTTACCGGAATCTACATCTCCGGCGCCACCACGCTCCCATCCACATGCGCCTCTTGCTCGCCGGAAAATCCTCCTTCCGATGACGGCGATTCTCTCCCTTCCTCTTCCACCTGCGTCTCAAGTTCGGAGTCCTGTGCCACTAAGAAGATTGAGGCGACACGCACGGCGGCAGGGAAGAAGAGGAGGAGTTTTTTTAGTTCTGTCACCGACGATGCGTCTCAGGAAGCGAAGAGACGACGGATGAATGTCGGATCGGTGGAAGATGAGGAGGTATTTGAAAAGTGGAGCAGAGAGATAGGGTTAGGGTTAGGTGAGAACGGTAACCGCGTGGCGTCGCACGCTCTGAGAGTATGCCTGGGAAAGTGGAATTCCCTTCCGTTCAAGGTGGCTGCGGCGACGTCGTTTTGGCTGGGCCTGAGATTTTGTGGGGACAGAAGTCTCGCCAGGTGGCAGAATCTGGCGAGGTTGGAGACCGTCTCCGGAGTGCCAGCTAAGCTGATTCTGGCCGCACATGCGAACCTCGCACGCGCCTTCTCGCAGCGCCGCGAATTGCACGAGGGATGGGGCGAGTCCTAGCATGGCAATGTCCAATACATTGTATGTCGTAATTCTGTCATCGCCCAAATGTGTGGATTTCAAATTTTAGTTTAGTTTCATTTCTTTTTCTTTTACTTTTTTGCATTTAGGAATAGCACACTGCAAATTGTTCTTGATTAATGCCTTTTACCAAATGTGTATCAATTGGATCAACAAATTCGGAAAGAAATGAAGAGCTACCCAGCCAAGCTTCTCTTTTGTAAACGTCCAAATTATGAATCCAAATTATTTGGCATTTGAGACTAAGATCCAAACCCATGGCAATGCATTGTTCCCCCCATAACCAAATATTATACATTTTTTATTTTTGAAGTCTTTATTCTGGGATTATGGTTTGCATACCACTTTGTTTTGCTATGATTAAGTAATTTTTATGGATTAAATTTATTATAAATCTGTTGAATTTTAGTTCATTATCAATTGATTCTAAGTTAAAATATGATAACTTTTGATGTATTTTTTAAAAGTTGTATACCAGGACTATTTGCATGATTTGAGCAGGTTTAGAAGCATTGTTTGATCCTAATTTTTTTTTTCTTTCACATAAGGTTCATACCTTGAATGTGATGGAATATAAGATGAACGCAAGAAAAAATGGATGTTTGACAAGAAAGGCAAAGTGGATGCGTGACACCACATGATTGTTGTTACGAGGCCTGAATAAAATTAATCCTCCAATCCATTCATGTTGCTGATGCCTGCACGTGTCTATAGCTAGTAAAAAAAAGTGGCATTGGTTGGTGCCACTTGTTATCGAAAGGCCAATATCTGAATTCCGGAACAAATTTCATCTTTGCTTTTGTTGAGGTTATTATTCGTTCGCTTCTGAACAGGCACCAACCATAATTGATGTTGTATCTCTTAGATAGTTAGATAATAACTAGAAGACCGATTCTCAGAGCCACGTTTCTGGTTTTGGTCCCAGCTTGGTGCCCACAATTTCTGCATAGTAATAATGCACGTCAACAACCTATGAAAAACAAGCGGTTAAAAAAAGCCTCAATCAAAGAGGTTGAGGCAATAGATATAATAGAAATAGATGTGAGGTCTAAACGTGCTTCTCAAAAGTGCACATGAGAGGGGTCTATGAATAGCAAAGCACTTCATTGTGGTTGCAGTTTAAAGTTATTATTGCAAGAATCTTACCAAGAGATAGAATGACAGAGAGAGGTAGTTGGGTTTTTCCTTTCCTATTTTTATTCTTTCTACTCCAATTGGATTCATTATGTTTAGACCACATGTTCCATGTACTTTTGATTTTAAATCTTAACATTGGTTTTCATGTCATGGCTCATTCTTAGCCATGATTTGATTTCCTTAAAATATTCATCTACTAATGGCTGTAGGCTTTCCATTTTATTTAATTAATTCCTAATTGAATCAAGGTTTTCAAGAAACTTAAAATATAATACCATTATGTAAGTAGTAACCAAGTCCAAAGTTGTCCAAAATCATTACAAGAGTCAAGAGAAAAAAGGTTGAATTGTTACGACTAACTTTAACTTAAACGCATCCTGAGTTATTTTATTCTAATTTCCATTAAACCAATCAATCTTTCAAACACAAATATGTATTTGCTTCTTCTTTTTTTTCCTAAAATGGTCAAACAAATTATGCTTATTATAAAAATATCAGAAATTACGCGTGACATACATCAAATGCGATGTGATGTTTGAAACTTAAATGTGTCCTCACACTGTATGCCTCTTAATAGGGGTCTATAAAATTAATAATTTTGAGATAATTCAAAGTTATTATTTTACGTTTAATAAAATATAATAATATAAGCAAATAACTACGTTGACAAATTTAAATATAAGCAAAGTGTAACTAGTTAAATCTTATTTAATGCTATCATTTCAAATATATCTTGCATTTAAACGTGAGTACAATCTTCAATAAATATGATTACGAAATTGTTTGATTTTTTAAAAATAAAAAAATTACACTAAATTTAATAAATTTCTTAGTAATGTAAAATTCAATAAATTTTTCTTATATTCAATAAATTCAATAAGTTTAATATAAATTAATGTTATAAATTTGAAGATGATTTATTTATCTAAGACTGGTGATTTAGAGGAGAAACTCTACTGAAAATAATTAATGGTCGATTAGTATTTCCATCTTAATTTTGCATTTTCTTTAAATCTGTTGTCATGTATTTCTTTTTAAAAATCATTCTGATCGTTATTAGACTTCGTTTATTTATGAGTAAAGTGTATAATGCAAAATATTAATATAAGAAATGGATGAAAAAAGTATTTTTGATTGTTAAGAAAGTAAACAAAAAAATCATTTTTATTTATTTATACAAAAAATGTTATTTTATACAATAATTCTCAATTAAATAAATATTATTTTTATATTTATAATTTATATATATACTTTTAATTATTATTTTAATAAAATATTATAAATATGAAAATTATTATAAAAAATAAACAATTTAATATATGTTTATTATTATTTATAATATAATATAATACTATTTTATTAATTTTATTTCAAATAATTTTAGAAAAAATAATTTTATAAATTATACCATATTATTGAAAAAAATATCAATTTAAAAGTATTATTTAAAAAAATATATATTATTAATAAACAAATAATTAATAATTATATGAAATTTTTTATAATTAAATAAATATTTAATTTTCATTTATCTATTTATTATTTTTAAAATTAATACTTTTATTTTTTTTCTATGTTATTTTTTTCCGCAAACAAATAAGAGGACTCATATTCTTTCGTTTACTTGAGCATACTCCCGTTGATTCGATCAAGATTTTTGGACAAACGTTGACGAAAGATTAAAATATACCGATGCAAATCAATGTTATTTTCAATTTTTTAAAATCGGTTAATGAACAGATTAAAATATACCTTTAGAATTTAAAGGTTTAATTAAGATTTAATAAATTAATATTTTTATAATATAATAAATATATAATAATTTCATTAATAATAATAATATATTTTTATATAAAAAAGAAAAATAATTAAAATTACTTTTATAGTCACTTAATATTAAAATAAAAATTATAAATATAAAATATATTAAAAATATTTGAGAGTATAAGAATATCTTCAAAGGGAGTTGTTAAAAGTTCTTACCTTCCAAGACTTCAACAGAATCTTGATAATTAACACTTCTACATGAACTCATTTATGAATAAAAGTAAATATTTTATTATAGATCATACATCTAAGTTGTTTGAAAGTGAAAAAAGTTGCTTAAAATTAAAAAAAAGTTGATTGGATAAGATCATCTCTAATGAGAATTACTTGAGAATAAAAGTAAATATTTTATTATGGATCCTACATCGAAGTTGCTTAAAAGTAAAAAAAATTGGTTAAAAATTGAAGAAAATTGACTGGATAAACAAATTTGACCATGTTTTAAACCACTTCAATCCATAATAAAATATTCAATTTTATTGTTAAGCAACTTTAATTAAAAACTTTCGTTGGAGATATTCCAACTCTAACTAAGTTTTAAGAAACTTAATTTTGTGACTCGTAATAAAATATTCAATTTTATTTTCAAACAATTCTTATTAAAAACTCCTTTTAAAAATGTTCTAAAATAGACTTTAAATTATAACAAATTTTAGGTATATAAAATATAAGATAAAAAAACAATTAGATCAAATAAGATCCTATCATAACAAAATAATTATTATTTAAAAGATAAAAAATAATTAGATCAAATAAGATCCTATCATAATAAAATAATTATTATTTAAAATTGACATAATTAATATAAGATAAAACATAAAAAAATATATTAAATTTTTTTGATTTTTTTATTATAATCGGTTCATCTCAAAACTTTATTTGATTTTCTTAATTGTGTCGGTTTTTTATTAATCTTTTCAATTTTATCAATATTTAATTAAAATATAATTACTTGGAAGAAAAATATGGTTTCTAGATTGGTTCTCAATTAAATGAGTTAAATCAACCGATTTAATCTGATCTTCAAAAGAGTTGTTATTTCTTGAGGATGTTAGTGATTTGTATGAAATAAAATATATTAGATTTGCTCAAGAGATTTTGCAATATAAATGGCAGACTTAGGTAATTATTTTTAACAACACATATTATAATTTATTCAATTCTTAATATTATTATTGTAAAAGTTAGATATGTGAGTTTGAAAATATAAAACAAGAATTACAAAACAAAATAAAACACAAAGAAATATAAATTGAAATAAAAAAAGAAAAAAAATATTAATTAACAAATTATGAATCAAACAAATTTTTTATTATAATTTTTTAAATATTTAATCCAAATTTAAATAATTAACAACTAAATCGATTATATAAAGTAAATCTCAAAATTTTAAATATAATTCATATTTAAAATTCAATTGATTTTTAAAATAAGATTGATATCATAAGATATAAAATCGAGATTAGAGAAAACAAAAATAAATTTTGACCAAGAATTGATTAATACAAGACTTAATTTGGATAGTCTGATATTGATTCTGGAATTCATACTCAAGATTTATTATTTTATGATAAATCAATTTTGATTAGAAAAGAGAAAAATAGAAAAGTAAAAAACAAAAATAAGAGCAAAAATAAAAAATGTGAAGACATTTTCTAGATTAAAAATAAACAAATAATTTCATAATATAAATTTATAAAAATCCTTAAATCTAAAACAAACCTATTTTAAACGTGGATTCTAATTAAGTCATAAATTCAATTATAAAAAATATGCTAATATAAATAAAAATCAAATCCACACTAATTCTTTACAAATTCAATTATAAAAGATATGCTAATATAAATAAAATTCAAATCCACATTAATTCTTTACAAAATTTTAGTAAATTTACCAATTTTTTAAAAATAATAAAAAATAATACATAGCTCTAAATCCATCAAATCTATATCTATTCCATAATCTTAAAAAAAATAATTCAATGTAACTTAAATAAGTTAAAGATAATAATTATAAATAAAATTAAGGGCAAGTGAATAAATATTAGATTAACTAAAAATAAAAAATTAAAATAAATATACATTAAATCCAATCTATTATTATTAATTTAAAAATAAGTTTAAAAATAAAAATAAAAAATATATTCATCATACAATAAATTTATAAATATATAAATAAAATATATGTTATCAATTAATAATTATATCAATCAATATACACATACATAATATTATTATTTTTTCATTGATGTTAACTTTTTTTTATTAACGTATTTGATAAAGTTTTTAATTTTTAATTTTTTATGTTTATATTTTTTTATTGATGCTATTAGTGTTATTATTTTTCTAAAGTTGATTTTTTCTTTTTAGTTTGTTAATGTTTAATTTAAAAACTTTCCATCAATTTTGTTTTAATAGGTATTCGTGGGAAATTTTCTAGCGATGAAAAATCGACAAGAAAAATACCTCGACTAATAACATAATAAAAAAACTCTAATTGACGTGAGAAAAAAAATTGTGGTTGACATTAGCTAAAAATAACATGCAGCAATATCAATTAAGAAATTTTTTTATTCATATCATTTTTCTTTTTAAATTTTAATAAAATATAACCTTGCTCAATATTAATTAAAAATATTAGTGTAACATTATAATACATACTTTATTATAATTAATATTAAATAAATATAATTTATTATTTAAAATATGAAGATTTATAGATAAAATCATTCTATTTTTTATAAATCAAATAATAAGATACTTTTTATTATTATTATTATATTTCTTATATTCTTTTTCTTGACTTAAACATCAAAGTATTTTCATAGATTAACTTTCCTATATTATTAATATTCACCTGATCCAATAAATTTTAAAATGACACTTATATAAATTGACTTGTTTAAGTTTATTTATCAATATAATTTTTTTAACAGACAATAACTAATTTTTTTAATTATTAAATATTATATAATATCAAAACATATTTTTATATTGATAATAATAAAAATATTAAATTTAATAAATAGATCTAGTTGAAGTAAATAAAACATTTAAAAGATAAAAAACAGAAATGAAAAAAGAATTTTGTATTTGATTTTTTTCAAGTTTCTTGTAAGTACATATGGTAGAGGTTGGCATCCATGATTCTAAAACAGAAAAGAAGATAGCATGTGACTTATACAATTCATGTACTACTCTACTCTAGGAGTTTGATTGCTTCAACTGTAATAACTCTATAAGTGTGAAGAGATAAACTACAAATGACCCACCTCAGCATAAATGAGTTATTGAGTAATTTAGCCAAGCCAATCCTAAAATAATTCAAGGAAAAAAGTACCAAAAGGAGCAAAAATACTTTTTAATGAAAAGACTGCCTTGTGAGTGTAGAGAAATGGAAAAAAAACTGAGCTTTGAGCAGACACAATCTTGAATCTTCTGTTCCAAACTCCCAGGCCAAAATAACAGCAGCCAGTTTCAATGTGTTACTCAGTTAGCATGTTGGATTTAAAAGGATCCAATTTCTCAGTGGTTTTAGCAACACAACATTCCATTTTGTCACCACCTTTCAAAGGATTTGCACTGGCTAGGTCTGGATTTCCTCGTGTTCATGATTTCAGCTAGTAGAGTCTTAAGCTTGATGCCATATGGCCCTGGCTTTACATCATCAACATTGCCAGATTGTGAGCACAAGAACTCTTCTTCTTCTTCTTCCTCAGCTTCTGAAACCCCTGTGGTCTTATTTGTTTGTGAGTTTGAACACCACTCTCCTTGAACCAACCCATTAGATGATCGGTTAAGGATCAAATCATCAATTTTCTCCAGAACCACATCACCTTCTGCAAATGGGCGAGCAAATGCAGCCCCAGTTTCCAGCATTGTATCATAGTGTGACATATCAAGCAATTGGGATTCAGATGGATCGGTGTCCCAAAGACTGTACATTAGATTATTGTCCACAGTGGTGTCTTGGAACTCGTGGGAGTTACACAACACTGTGTGGAAATATGATTCCACAGGATAAGCCACATTGGTGAAGAACATTAGAAGTTTTCTTGGTAAATTGTCCCACCCTCTAACACAGTACTCCATAAAGGCTCTTGTAAGAACCATCCAGGGTGAGCCTATTAATTAATAAATGACATGAATGAGAAACTAAGAGCAAAGAATAGTACTTTTTTCTTAAAATTCAATTATCAAAATTTGTTTCAAGGTAAACTGACCTCGAAATAGCTTAAAAGCATCTGGGATATCTCTGGACTCCACAGCAAAAAAAAGTGGACTATTCTTTTCATAATGTAAACTTTGGTCTACCACAATTTGATTAATGTCTCGTTGCCTGCATCATCATGTCACCGATCATTTTAGAAACCTATTAGAAGAATGGTGTAAATATTTGAAAAGGCTTGTTTCTTTATTTTCTGTGACCAACATGAAAGGTTGAACACATTTTGACAAAGATGTTGTATTTTTTGAATGGTTAACCGAAGTTGTATTTTTTATTCATCCTCTCCAACTAGTGAATAAATGATGAATGAATTTAGAAAGAAAGAAACCTTGATGTCATATATCTTTTTGCAGCAACAATTATGAATTGTGATTAGATGATTTCTTTGTTGAAGTAAGGTAATATAGGGCTCTCCACCAAACATAACAAATAAAGGCAACTACTAACCACTTTGTTATTTTAGCAGTTAATGTTATCACTATGATTATTAATTAACTTTCTGTTTTTATAATATGTATTTAGTTAAGGAAGTAAACTAGACCTTAATTTGCTGACTACTTACTCGTTCCGAACTGTCTTGTTAGTGTAATGAATGAAGTTGACATATCTTGGCAAGAATGTGAAAGCATGAAGGATATCTGCACAGAAAAATGATAAATAAAACAATGTTGAATTGTTATTCCATCGAAGGCACATTGATATAGAGATCTCAAGCAATACAATTAGTGTTTAGGGCCTTGGTTATTACAAATTATGAAACACCAAGTAATATGTCGGTGTTAAGAAGAAGATCACGAGACATTACAAACATTGAACTATTGTAGCATCTTTGATGGTTCAATTGTTTTCTTAAGATCTCAACATAATACACAGTCTAGGAAGAGGGCAATTCTAATATTTCTTACAATCAGCTTTTATTTTCTTGGTTGGAGTAATTGAATTCAGAGTCCTCTAAGATTTCAAATTGACCCCAGTTTGGAATTCAACTCATGATGCATGCCAATAATACAAGGAAAACTTCAGAACGCAAGTTTTATAGCACAGAAAAACATTTGCATCATTGACACTTACCGTCCTGAGTCATGAGAGGATAATCTGAAGCACTTAAGGTGATGAACCAGTCCCATTCTGGGTTCAGTTTAAGCAGCAAAGCAGCAGCATGCAGAGGAGCAGAAAGAGCAGAAGATCCCATTCTATTGATGGCATAACTTTTCCCAATGACATTCACATTTCCAAATTCCTCGAACACCTTAATTGATTTAACTGAAATAGCTAAATCCATTCTTTCAGACTCAGAGGAGCGATCATCAAGCTGAAGTAGGTATTGGTTTCTTGGATGGTACACAACCTTCAACAGCCTCAGCATCTTCTTACTCTCTCCTTTGGTGCCAAGAATCCAATATGCAAGCACAGGAGGGTACCCTTTTCCCTTTGATATAACATGCTTAGGATTGAAGTGCCGCAACTTAGACACTGTGGCATGAGAAACATTTGTAGTATTCAATCTTGAAACTGTTCCATACAACACCAAACACACAACAAAAATCAGAAGACAGAGACGATAATCCAATCCCCTACATGGAAATTTGGATGTTCTCATTGAAGTGGTTGTATTTGGATGTAAAAAAGGTTCTAGGAAGATTAAAACTTAGATAAAATTGGTTTCCATGAAGAAGTTCATTCTTATGAAAACAGGTCCGGCAGCAACAAAATTTGCCTTTGATCTAACTTTGATCTGGGATCTGATAGATGAAGTCTTCAAATGATAATAAATCCAAAAATGTAAAAGTGGGAGATAGAAACTAAGGTAGATTAGAGAAAAAGACCAATAATGATAATTTGTGGATCAATAATTCAACTTAAAGTGAGAGGAGTAAGGTGATAAATCAGTGTAGAAGGTGTGATTGTGATGGAGAATGGAAAAAGGTGAAGGATGTTAAAACTTGTACCTAACGTTTGAAAACTTGAACTGGAAGGCAACAAAAAGCAGGGTTGCAACAAGCTTGAAAGCTTATTATGAACCTTTCTGAAAACAAGAAACTTTTGTTTCGTTGGAGATTATAAAATTAGTGAAAATGGTGTGTGATGAGAGGAGTTTGCAAGCACAATTCTTCCCCTAATAAAATGTTAGTGAAAATGGTAAATGGATAATTTTTTGCTTGTTCTTTGGTACCCTGAATTGCCACTTGTTAGATCATCAAGTTAACCTTTCACAAAAGATTCAAGAAGAAAATGTTGAACTCTACGTTTTGATTGAATGATTCTTAGCATTTTATTTGATTTAATGCAAGTCTCTGCTCTGCAGGGATGACATGAAAATCAATTTGTCAGTATTTTTCACTCAGACAAAATCATACCAACATGTTCTCTAACTGATTATTTGCATCAAGTTCTTTTATTTTTTTTGTAAATAAATTACTACTTTTCTTCTTTACAAATTTCTTTAAAAATTAATTGAAACCTTTTAATTTTGTATTAATTTAATTATGGAATTTTCTATCGTGTGCTACTCTGGACAGATTAATTATCATCAATAATCCATATTAATAAATTTTATATTATTCTTTTTAAATGATCTCTCTCCCATTTATTTTATAAAAGAATTATTTTGACAGCACTGTTTTGATAAATATCCTATCAGCAATCGATTTTTATATTATAATAATAATTTTAAATTATTTTTACTAAATTATTTAATAATTATATTAATAAAAAGAGATTTCTAACGCCCATGTTTTTAGAAGCCGGTTTTCAATATACCACCTTTTTATTTAAAGAAGTGATATTTTGATAATTCCATAATCAAACAATCTTAAAAACAATTCACTTTTATTAATATAATAATTATAAAATGATTTAATAAAAATAAAATAAATTAAAATTATTATTGTCATTATAATATTAAAAATGAGATGTTTTTTAATTATCAAAATATCATATCTCAACAATTTCTTTTTTCTTATAACTAATCACAGGTCAATTTAATAAAATAATATAATAAATAAATAAAAAATAAATTTTTTATTACTATTATTAATAAAAATACAGATGCTAAATATTATTTTATTTCTTCATTCTACTCTTTAAATATATCATTTTTTTCATAATTTTATCATTTTTTTAAAATATATAAATTGTAATAACTATTTTTTCTTTATAATATATCATATGTTAACATTTTTATTTTATCTGTCTTATTCACCGAAATTGATAAAAAGAAATCTCTATTGTATATAATAAAAAGTATAGATACAGATGAATAATATTATTTTCTTTTCTAAAATATGTTTGAAAATCATCATTGTTTTTTTAATTATAGAATACTACTATATACTTTTTCAGTTTATAGGTAGTATAATATATTATTGCATACATTTATTTAGATTTATATACACTAAATAAGAAACAAAATTCTGTGGATTGATTGGAATAATATATTGCTTTGTTGTAAAAATAAAATAAAATAATATATTAATTTTTTTAATTATTGTTTTTTTATTTTATTGCAATGTTTTATCACCTTGATTTCTCATATGTTTTATTGATCATAGAAACTTTGAAGGCCTAGTTACAATTATTATTAAAATTTTTGATTTTGGAAGGATATTTAGAAAAAAAAGTAATTGTAATTTTTTAATGAAAAGATATTATAAAATGTGTGGGATTATAAAATAAATTTTTAATTATTTATTTACTCTTATAATTATAAAATATTTTCTTTTTAATTCTTGTATCTACTATATTTAACTTTTTAGTCTAAATAATAATTAAAATAAATATTTTTAAAATTAGATCAGTTATCAAGTTAAAATGTATTAATAAAAATAATAATAGTAATAAATTATATTAAAAAATATAATTTATAGTTCTACGATGTTTAAAATAAAAATATGACATAACTTCATAGATTTTTCATATATAAAATACATATATATATATATATATATATATATATATATATAAAACTAAATTATGTTATATACTTATATTAAAATTTCAATAATATTCATCGACTTATTAATAACAATTTTATATGTAAAATTGTGAATAGGTTCTGTATCCATTTTTTTTAATTTATTTTAAGTTTTCATTTTTAAATTGATGATTTTAATTGTGTAATTTTTAAAATCATATAATATCAATAAAATTTAATAAATTTTTTAATATCACTGATAGAAACATATAGACGTTACGTATTCATATTTTTATATACTATTATTTTTTAAAATAATTATTTAAACTTTTATTTTATTTTTTAATATATATCATATTTCTCTTTATTTTTATATGTTTAATACCCTTCTTCTCCTATTTTTCTTATATCTTCCTTCTTTCCTTTTTTTTTTTATAATAACATATCATAAAAGTTAATTATAAATAATAATACCAAAAACCAGTTATAAAGAGAATATTCTCTATATAATATTAATAATATATTATAGGTTAAGACTTTTTTTTCACTCTTATTCACCAAAACTTGACAAAAATATAAAATAAAAATCTTCGATATATTATACATAATAAAAAAAATATAGATACAGATGACAATTTAAATAATATATAATTTTAACTTTTTATGTTTAAATTTAATATTTGATAATAATTTTTTTTGTTATAAATTGACAAAAAAATAAATTTGCATATTTTTAAAGATTAAGAATTAATTAATAAAATGAAAATTAAATTTGAGAAAAGCTGAAAAGGAAAAATATATTTAACCTTTACATGAAGAAATCATAAAGTTGAATCCGGATTGGATTGGGCACGCAGATTTGGAGGTGGTATTTGAGTTGGCAAGACAAATTCCAAACCAATCACAATCTTCAGCCCACCAAATCAATCCATCTAAGAAGCAACGCAAACTTGGATTCCCTACTCAAACGACAAAACAGACAAATAAAGTAACAGAATTTGTAACGATGATTTTATTATGGTATTATTGTATTCTAATATTGTAATATTCTTGTCACCAACACCAACATTAACCTCTTTATCTATTGTAGTGTAAGCATATTCTGTTGTTTTATTTTTATTATTGCAAACATTTTCCAAACCAAAACCCACCCCAAACCAAGTCTTCTATGGAAGCACTCTCCATCATCCCCGATTCTTCCTCACTCCTTCTTCGCACTCCTTCTTCTTCTGCTTCTGTGAGAACGCCGCGACTTTCTTTCTTCAACATCACCCAAAACTCTCACTCCCACCTTCTCCCTCTTCGTGTCTCGAACACCGGTGGCGATGAAGCCACCAATGACTTCGCTTTAGCTTCTCAACCTCAGGTTTTCAAATGCTCTTCTTCTTTTCAGTATATTCGTTAATTTGTTGCCAAACTCGTACACCCCTAAAATCAAATTCTGTACTTTAAATTTAGACTTTGGAATTGGAATATTCTGATTAAACCACTCTCCTTCTAAAACCCTATTCACTGTTGTATTTTGCGTATTGTTATTTATTATTGCTAGCCATTTCAATCAACTTGTTTTTAAGAGATCATGATACTGCTAGCTTTGTGTCTTTCATTAGGAATGAAATTCCTTCTCTTTTAGTTACTTATTGTTTCTACTTCACACTTCATACAAATTTCGTTGCAATGCTCAATTGGGTCGTTAATGGGCACTTCTGATTTCTTCTTATGCATGTTTTCGTTGACTTATGAGTTTATTGGGTGCCATTTCATTTTGAAGGAAAATTTAAGTCATTCTGAGACTGAGAGTTCTGAAGACGATCAAGATGCGCCACTACAGGTGGACATGTCATGGTCAACTATTACAGCCCCAGGTGGAGTTGGAAGTGGATCGGGTGGTGGCACCAGGGCTGGACTTTTCAGAACACCGATTTCTGGTGGCGTGCAGAGTGCCACCTCGGCTCACGGTTTACCTAGACCAGCTTTAGCTGTTCGTAACCTGATGGAGCAGGTATGTTACCGGTGTTTGTTTCTGGTAAAACTTTAAATGGATTTTTGTGTATTCAGCTTTAGAACTGAATCTAGCGCAATTACAATCACGGCCTTTATTAATTTTCCATTGCCTTTTCCTTCTTGAATTCAAGGCAAGATTTGCTCATTTGTGCACTGTAATGTCTCGTATGCACCACCGACGAGAAGGATATCCATTTGGTTCTCTGGTTGATTTTGCACCAGACTCGATGGGCCGTAAGTCTATAATTATTCATTTGCTTGATTAATTACTTCCATTCAGTCATGAATATTTGATGCACTTGTGGATTTCAGTGTCTAGTTGTGTATCCATGGTTCGAATAGGGGAGTAAGTTGGGAGTTCTTCCCAAGGTACCATATCTGCAACAGTAATGATAATAAGCATTTGGTGAACTCAGCTAAGTTGATGGGGTCATTAAATTGTTAAATTGGGCATGTATTACTGAGGTTTCCAATCTAGTTTTGATCCTTGCTGAGAAAAGAGTAAGAATGTGATAGAAATTGAAAATAGGGAGACCAAGCACCTACAAACAGAGGTAGCCCTCTGATAATAATACTATAACATAAAAGAAAACAGGAAGATAACTATGGAAATGGTGCTGCTCAACTGAACTGAGCCTTTCCACCTCGCTCAATTCTTACTATCTCCTAAACTCTTATTCCACCCTCTTTGCCCCCTGGCCCACAGTTCAGGTATCACCACTCAACATGTGACAACTATCTATGTTCGTACAACCTTCGCACCCTCTAAACTATGTTTTATAAACCAGACTCGTCATGAAAGGTTGAAGGCATTTGTTTGTCCGATTGTGGTTTAAATGGTCATACTGTATGCCTTACAAGATATTAAGTATAAACTTGCATAAAATCATAAAAGTTATAGTCAGGTAAAATTTTGAATTAGCTTAACATAACCATATTGTATGCCTTGCAAGATAAAAAGGAATAATGGAAAGCAAACAATTCATCCATGGCCTTAATATTTTGACAGTGAACCTCATTTGGATAAACAAATATCTGGGTTGGATTAAAAATTAAAAGAAATCAAAACAACCATTTCATAACACCAGTTTGCCGAACCACTGATCTGTTGATTTTAATCGATGCTTCTATTGGACTCCTCCACTGGAATCTTCTCTGCAGTGGCTAATCTTTCATTTTCTCCAATTCCTATCCTGTTTGTCCTTTGTTACATACACAGTCCATCACTTCCATTTAGCCCATCTTTCCTTTTGTAGCATAAACTTGTGCTATGAGTCAGAGTATGTGGGGACTGGGGATGAGATTCATGTTCCTCCTTTAGTTGTAGTATGGGCATGAATTACAGAATATTCCAATCTAATTGACAATTTTGATACTACTTATACCTAACGAGAATAAAGAATACATAAAAGATTCATAGTCCACCTCAAGATTGTATCATAAAGTGCTCCTTAATTTATTCTGCTGTCTGCTTATGCTGATAATTGTTAATTGTAAAGCACTAATGGTTTTCTTGTCTGTTCGTAGTGCTTATCTATAAACCATGTCTTATATTCTTCTTTTGTAGATCCAATATTTTCTTTTTCTCCTCTTGCAATTCACACAAGGAATTTGTTGGCTGACCCAAGATGCACATTGGTTGTCCAGGTTTGAAATTTCCTATTTAAGGTTTTAGATTTTTTTTTTCTCCATTTTGGTTTTTATTAACATTTATATTAATTAGATACCTGGATGGAGTGGCTTGTCCAATGCAAGGGTAACTATTTTTGGGGATGTCTATCCACTTCCAGAAGATCAACAGGTTGTTTGCTGATTAATTTGTTTTTGAGGATTAGTAAATGTGCACTTGTTTGTGCCTTTAATTATTCATATAGAGATACCTCTGAATTAGAGGTTTATTTTTACATGTCATGATATCTATTTGACTATCTGTACTGACAGGAATGGGCTCATAAGCAGTACATTGCGAAACATCAACAGGGTCCTTCTCAACAGTGGGGCAACTTCTACTATTTTAGGATGCAGAATATAAGGTTGGCTCCTTTCTAGTTATATCTATGGAATGTATCTAGTAAAATTTATATTTCTTTTTATGACTGAGAGGAGTGAAGCATCATTATACAATCGTACATAGATGGTCTAAATTACTTGGTCAAGATTAAAGACTACTTAAAATCAAACGATCACTTAAAGTCACATGATTTTTGAATATTGATTATTCCTTGCATGATTTAGTAGTTAATTGGTTCCTCTCATTTACACATTAAAATGACAATCTCATTTGTACAACTCTCTTGCATATTTTTGGGGCTTTTTACTTGGGCCTGGTGGATAAATGTCAATATTCGTCAAAGAACCTAATATCCTAGACTTTGATGATTTTTTTTTCCTGATTGAATGAAACAATCATATTTTTGGAATTTGGTAAAACATCAATAACATGGGCAGGTCGTGTGTATCCTTTGAATTTTTCATAAAAAATCTAGTTCCTTAACAAAAAATATGATGCTCATGAACAATAGAACCCATGAAGAATTGGGAAATTCAAATTCATCATGTTGTTTGGTACTGTCATTATCAACCTGTATAGGTAATTTAATCAGTTCGTTATTGACAGTGACATATATTTCATTGGAGGCTTTGGTACTGTTGCTTGGGTGGATGTAAAGGAATATGAAACCCTGCAACCTGACAAGATTGCAGTCGATGGTGGTGAACAGTATTTAAAGGTGAGTTTTCTGATTTCTTTTTTACTCTACGAAGGAAATAATATCTGGCTTGTGTAGGCAGAAGTAAACAATCTTACTTTTAAAACAATTTATATTCTCATTGAATGTTGCTATCTTCTCCCACGTAAAAGAAATTTATGTGATTGGTTGGGATGGGGCATTATAATTTTTTCAGCATAGTAGCTGGAGATGGTCCAGATGGATGTATACATATGGCACATTCAAGACATGTGGCACATTCAAGGTCCAGGCTGGGTTGGTTTTGTGGGGTTCCTAGTTCCCTCAATAAAGCTTACCTAAAAGGATAATTTAATGTCACCCCCCTCCCCTGGAAAGTAACCCAATAGGGTTTTTTGTGAAGTTGAAATGAAGTCTGAGTCTGTTTTTTCAGTCAAACATTTTTCAATGACTTTCTGTCATCCATATGCTCATTGATACAATTATGTAATCCAGGCCTAGAGTTATATCACTTCATTGCTTGATTTTATGTTTGAAATAATAGGAACTCAATGCTATCTTCTCAAAGCCCCTTAAGAAACTTCTATCTAATGAGACTGAGGTAGATGATGCTGCACTCATATCCATAGACAGCAAAGGAACTGATATCAGGGTCCGTCAAGGTGCCCAGGTAAACTTTTTCTGTCCATAGCCAGATTGTCTTTCTGTTAGTATTTGTGGCTGCTGTCTATCATTTAATGTCTTTTTTGTATGCAGTTCAACATTCAGAGGATATCATTTGATGAAGGGCAGAGTGTAGAAACTTTGGAAGAAGCTAAAGCTGCTCTTCGGAAATTAATACACAAAGGAAAAGTGTACAATTTGCAGAAATAAGATTTTGGATGCCCTCTCTCTCCCTTTGGAACCCTGGCAGTTTTCTAATCTGACTTTTTCTGGAATTGTTAATTTTATACTTTTTGCCTGGTGTGACATGCACCATAAAATGTATTATATCCATGCATCTGCAATCATATTTTGTGAAGTCTGATCGTGAGAGGGCTTTTTGTGGGCTATACCACCATAGTCAAACTAGAAATAATATATCAGAACTCAGGAGAAATAATATTATGCTTTTTTTTTCTTCTAAATTCTTGGCTTAAATTCCTTCCATGCGTGTTGTATTTGCGGATCATAAATCAATCGTCTGAGGTTTTTAATTCAAGACAAGACAAGTAGTTCACTGTTAATGTTTTTTTATATTGTTTTTTAAAAAATGTTTCGAAAAATTATTTCTTTACTGTTTATCACATCCCTTAATTCAAGCATCAAACACATAATTTATTTTAGATTAAAATTATGTTTGTATAATATTGCCTCCCAATTTTGTGACATAAAATTATTATTATTTTTTTCTGTTCATATATACATCTTCAGAAGGTATCCTCCTTCTGGTGCTGCCATAAAAGAGTAACAATATCTGACAACTGGTTTTCATAAGAAATTTTCATGGCCGAATAAATAAGAAAACAGAGAAGGGTTGATTAATCATTGCAATACAAACTAATAAATTATTTTACATATTTCTTTTTTATTCATTTTTACATATTTCTTTAAATACCTTTACTATAAACCACAATTCATTATTGTTAATAAAAATATACTAGTCCATTCAATAAAATATATTTTTCTTTTAATGTTTCATGTATCCTAAAAATGACTTATAATTTCATATTCATTTTCTCAATTTTCACTCTCCATTTTCTTTTTCAAACCAAATAGAGTATGACAAAGATTGGAAGCACAGTTGCTAATTGAACAAAGTAGAAGTTATCAGTTAGACACTCCAGTGCATAGTGAAGACAAAAAATGGTGGACAAGTATAGTTGACGGGTCCAACCATACTCTCGTCTAAAATGATTGATTTTAGCTTTTAAACAAATTAAATTGATCGATGTCAAATTTTAACATAATATAACTTTTTCCTTAATTTTTCTATATAAATTATATCAATATTTATGTTTACCGAAATAAATATTTGTAAAGGCATAAAATTATTATAGTAAAACTATATTAACAAATGCCATATTTATCATTATTCTTAATTTTTTTGAAAAAAAAATCTTATATGATGTGGTAGGGTCATGGATTATTATATTTATTTAATTAAATTGAGTTGAATTTATATCCTTCTGATTATTTTTTGATTTTGGTAGGCTTGTCCAGATAATAACATGAGATTGCATGCAGGAGAAGATGGCAGCCAAGGCATGTTGAAACGAAAGGCAATGCTCATCATTCACAAACACGACAAATCAAATGGCCACCCCACTCACCTGTCCTACATCAATCTCTTTCCACTTCAAACAGTTTTACCATTTTCTTCAACTTCAACTTCAACTTCAACCCATCACACACACAAAAAAAAAAAAAGAAAAAAAAAACACAACACAACAAAACTCGTTCATTTTACCAATTACCATGTACCAATTACTAGTTATCTCTCTTTCTCTCACACAACAAACTCACTTGCAAGCATGCCATTTGCCTCAAACTAACCCTTTCCTCCTCTTCTCCCTGTTCTTTCCCCTTCAGCCATATAACAACATCACTTGGTTGTTCTGTTCCAAGACAGCTTCCAACAACCATGGAAGAGTCTGAGGGCAGTGCAAGTGGGAACCACAGTTCCAGTGGATCACCAATCACCAACATGGCTCAGGACTACCTCTTAACAATTCTCCTCCTTCTCCCCATAGATGCAATTCTCTCCCTTTCCATGACTTGCAAGAGATTCAGGTCTCTCACTTCCTCACACACTCTATGGAAATCTTTGTGCAAAAGGGACTTAGGTTCCACTTGCGTTGAGGCACTAATAAACTCCTCCAACTATCACCACCATCAGTTCCCATGGATGAGGCTCTACAGGCAAGTCTCTCTGATGGATTCAGTTTGTTGTCATAAAATTCTGTCAGAGCCACATGCAGATTTGGATTTCCCCACAGCCAGAGCCTCTCACTCTCTCAACTTTGTCTCGGATTGTCTAGTCTTGTTTGGTGGCGGCTGTGAGGGAGGTTCGTTACTTTCTCTTTCCATCTTCTAAATTGGATTCGGGTACTGTTGTTCACATTAAATATCATCTCATCATGTGTGTCCCCTAATATGGTGAAAAGGAGACAAGTTATGTCCTTTTTCCACTACAAAGGGAATCGAATTCAACACAGAATTATTAAACCAACTCAACTGTACGGCGTTATTATGCAGTATACTTGTCTCTATAACCTACCTAGGTGCCTTAGTTTTCAACATTTAGTCATCTAACCATTACATATTCCACTTTAGTCTGGAAGTTGGAAAGTCTCAAATCACTTATCACAATTCTTGGAGCGCTGCAATTTCACTTAATGTCTATTGGTTTTGAGATAAATTCTAACATGGTATTGGAATTTATAACCCATCTCAGTAAATCATCTCTTGTGATAGGCTAACCCGTTTTGGCAAGCATATGAAAGGGAGGTGTTGGGAAGTCCCGGTCTCATTTCTTATATACCTGTGAGGCGACTTTACAAAATACCAATTGGGTTTGAGATGGATTCTAACCAAACATTGGACTTAAATTTAAGGGTGAAGTGAATTAAACTGGTATAGGGCAAAATGTCCCTTCCTCTTGACAATTATTAGAGTACCTTGCAATTAATATCTTTTTGTTCCTTGTCCTTGTTTTTATTATTTAGGACGACATCTTGATGACACGAGGGTGGCATACATTGGCAATGATTTCCGGAGAATGTTGAAATGGCAAACAGTCCATGCAGGCATTCCGAGTGGGAGATTTGGGCATACATGTGTGGAAATGGGTGATTATCTTGTTCTCTTTGGAGGAATCAATGACCGTGGCAACCGTCAAAACGATACATGGTTGGGGCAAGTTGTGCTGAATGAAAACAAAGGCATATCATTTTCATGGAAAATGCTTGAAGTGGGAAATGTTGCACCACCCCCAAGAGGAGCTCATGGTGCATGTTGTATTGATGAAAAGAAAATGATAATCCATGGAGGTATTGGGCTTCAGGGCCTCCGTTTGGGGGACACATGGGTCTTGGAGTTGTCAGATAGTCCCTGCCATGGCACTTGGCATGAGATTGTGTTACACCCTTCACCTCCACCACGTTCAGGACACAGCTTGACATGCATTGGCAGAAGCAGGACAATACTATTTGGAGGTAGAGGTATGGGTTATGAGGTACTTGATGATGTTTGGTTATTGGATTCATATCAAGGTTATCTCAAATGGGTTCAAATAGTTTATGATTTGCAAAGCATACCAGGTGGTGTTTCCCTCCCTAGAGTTGGTCACACAGCAACTTTGGTTTTGGGGAGCAGGTTGCTAATTTATGGAGGAGAAGACTCATGTAGACACAGGAAAGATGATTTTTGGGTGTTGGATATCAGTGCCATTCCTTACCCTTGCATCACTCGGCAGCATCCAACCACAGTGAGCTCCAAGAAAGTCTCAGTGACAAGAATGTGGAAAAGGTGGAAATCAAGTGGTTTTGAGGCAAAAGCTAGATCATTCCACCGTGCTTGTGCAGACCAATCAGGGCGTTATCTGTATGTATTTGGTGGAATGGTGGATGCTTTTCTTCAGCCTGTTCAGACTTCTGGACTAGGGTTTGATGGGGAGCTTTTTCTTGTGGAGCTCGTGCTTCAGATCTAGTTAATCAATGGCTCTTTCTTGATGTGCAGTGTCTTCCAACTACATACCATTATTTTGTCATAGTCATAGTGTAAGTCCCTTATTGTGTTAGGCTTTTAGCTGTTGTAAAGGATATAGCAGCTGCGTGTATTGGTCAGCCAGTGTCAATATCTTGTATGAACTGTGGCTACATTATTGGAAAGCAGTGAATGGTATGACTCTGAAGATTACCAAAATGTTTGCACTGTTGATTGTCAATTTAAAAAAAATATTACATTTTATTTTTTGGAGCAGAAATAAGATGGGCAAATTTTAACCCCTTAGTACATTATGAAGACAATCCGAAGTTAACATAATATATAAAAAAATACCCGAGTATCATGCATAAATTTGTGGATGAATAAAAAAATAATTGGAAGAGGTGAATCCGTTTAGACTTTTTGACGAATATACTTCGTAATCATTTCTATTTTGAACCTATAATTTGGTAAAAAAAAAGAGCATCCTTTATCATCAAAAGACTAGCAAGGAAACAAATAAACATAATATATAAATATAGGATTCTTCCTAAATTACTTAAATCCTTTATTGAAGTAGATTAGATTCATAATTACATGACGTGTTTTAACGCTTCGAGTATGAAAATTAAATTCATCTAATATTTACTTCAACAGTTAATATTCATAACATGATACCGTATTTTTTTTTTCAATCTAAAGCGCCGCACATTTAAAAGTCAATTAAAAATCAATAAATCATAATTTTAGTCAAGTAGAACTACTTCAAGAGCAAGAACTCTTCCAATGTTAGTTTTCCATATTGGAAGATTCGAACACAAGATCTTTAAAAAGCCTATAAGAATTACATTAACATAAACTAAGTTCATCTGTCAATATTTACTTGAATACAAAAGCTAAAAATATATGGGATGGGGGAATACAAAAGCCGAGTGGTAAAAATTGGTGACAACTGTAAATGTTGAATTAAATTACAGTCATTCTCAGTGAATAAGAACTATGAGTATTGTATTGACAAAGAATGTGCAACGTTTTGGCCTCTTCGCCTCTGCTTTTGGAGAAAGACGCTACTAAAAGATTCCACTGCAATTGCTCACTCATTCAGTTTTAATTTTGTTCTCCACATCTCTCCAATAACCTTTTTGGGTGATGGATCATCAGGTCCCTTGTCTCGCTGTCCTGAAGTGAAGTACAACCATCCATTCCAAAATCCAACAAGAGTGGTTTTCACTCGGAATGGTAATTTTCCAATCACTGACCATTTCTGAGAATTGATAACAGGAGAAAGAAACAACATCAGCGACAACAAAATAACATGATGCTCCTACTCGCAATAACATATAATTGTTGTAGTCTTCATATGTAGACTACCGACTTGACTTGGTACAGTGTGCCAGCATGAATTGAAAGCAAGTGTCAGTTACATAATGACACTAATTATGTAGACTCGACTTATATATATACACTTTACGATCTCACTTCTGCAGGTGCAAAGGACATGTGATCTTGAATTGAGAAATGGTAAGACAGGAAATTTAGCTTAATACCAAATTACAAAAACCTAAAGGCAATGGAAGATAGCCCAAGAAATTTGTTGTCAAATCCCAATTTCCATGCTAAAAGGAGTGGAGGGTAACACAAGGAAATTACTAAAAATGGAGCACTCCCTCCATCCCTTTTCATAAGATCCTTTCAACTAATTCATATTATTTAAGAAAATTAGTTAATTTAGTTGATAACAATAAATTTGTCAATAATTTGTATTGTTTCTCCAAAATTATCCTTATTGTATTTAAAGCCAAAGTAGATGAGAAAGGCTGGACTGAAAATTATCCTACCTAGCTACTCATGTTCTCAAATCAGAAAGAAATTTTATGTTGTTAATTTCTAGCATTTTCTACTTTTCCTTTTCGTAAAAAGAAGTCAATTAATTAAGGATACTTTTAGAAAAAATAATTAATGTATCAAACAATATGTGTATGCTAATGTAAATTCATATGATGATTGAATATGAAGAAATATGCAGAAATGGAGACCCCTTTCCTCAGTGCTTTGGGAAAGAGAAATTATTACCAGAGTATTCAAGTTAAACTGGACTACTTCTCCGTTTAAAACCATCTTCTTCGTTACCGGGTGCTTCTCTGTTGTGCCTCCAGCAATGACAATGGAATTATTTACAAGTGCCCAAGCAAATTCAATATGTGAGTTTGGTTTTGGCATTGGAGGCAACGTTTTCCACTTCATCTCATCATCCAGCATGTAAACATCGGTATAGACCACCTGACGTGATAACGAAAAGTGAGACACAGTGTCAAACCATGAGACAGCATCGTGGAAGAACACAATTTAGCATCAAATTACAAATAGGTTGTTCATACATACTATCGATTCAATTTGGAGAAAAAAAGAGAAAACATACATACACAAACTTTGGCTCATATAATTGATATCCAGGATACCGAAGTTGTCCTTAATTTGAGCAAATAAGACAAGAATAATAACAATTGTATAACGGCATACCTCTGGTCTGCGTGAGCACTTAAAAATAGGTGACCCAGGTTTGGCCATAAAATCACCTTCTTGACCACCAAGAACAAAAAGCCGATCATCAACCACAACACAAGCCCTAAAAGAAAATATTATTAAGTAATAAATTCCAGGTAACATATATATACACAAAAGAAAATACATTTTAATAAACCTAGATTATGATGTTTGGAATCCAAAACACCATTGAAAAACTGTATCATATTTCATTCTTCAACACAACAAAGTTTACAGCACTTCGCAGCATCGAAGTTAAATGAATCATAAGGATAAGAGAACAGGTTGAAACCTATAATGCCAAAAAATACAGGAAAAAAAAACATACACTTCCATGTTTTTTGTCACACTTTAATCAAAAGGACACAAAATGAAGAGTACAAAATCCAATCGAGAAGTCAAAATGAACGGAGGGTAAGAATAGGAAGCAATGAAGTTTTTCTAATCTCAAGAAGACTACTCAAGAGGCCAAAATGTTCAAAATTACCTAAAGATGAGACTTTCCTATCAATACAAAATAAGCAAATAATTATTTAGAAACACATGTAGATAACAATAGTAGTAAAACACTGATTTGAAAAAAAAAAGAATACAATTATTTATTAAATTCAATTAATGTCTTTATGCCTATAACAAAATTCAATACTCAATAGCACTACTATTAGGACATGCCTACAATATAGTACTACACTAGCACTCATTAGCTCCATCGAACAAATTTGGTTCAGTCAGTTCACAAACCTGTGAGGTCCTCCACGAGGAATGGGTATCTCACTCCTCCACTCCTTTTCTAAAGCTTTTCCATCCTTCACAGCAAGACTCCAGTGTTCCAATCCAGGCGTATGTCGATTCTCCTTACTGCCACCCATCACATGAAGTCTACCTCTCCAAAGTTGGGTTGCTGGTGCATATCTGAAAATAATATTGTCAGAAGAGCATTCCACCCAAAACTATGATACAAGGAAGAAAAATGACATACATGGTTTTATCGGAGCAAAGCCAGACTAGGGAAACCCAAATAAAATTGGGTAGGGTATTACTGCCAAAATTACTTTGATTCTTTTTACATGCAGTTAATAAATTATTAATGTTATTTTGCTGATGAGTTTACTAATATTTCGGACAACCATCCATGATATTTGTGTAGAATATTCATCAGCTTTTCCAATGACTAATCTCCATAATATATTTGCTACTATAATAAAAAAAATATTATGCAAATTGTTGGACACCACCTACAAATATTTAGTCTCACTATTGAGATGTCCTAGAGATCTCACTTTACAAATCCGTTTTGTAAAATTAAGTCGAGTCCAAATCCCTTTTTAAAATGGCATCTGAGTCTTGTAAACTAGTTTTATAAGATTGAGTTAGGTCTAAATTCACTTTCTAATATGATAATGAAACTTATCCTAATGAGATTTATTGGATCACTCACTATTAATCCAGTCACAAATTTCATTCTTATGCTTTTGAGATGTTCAATCCTCGCCGTGAGGGGTGTGTTGGTGTCCACCTACAAAATCTAGTCCCATACTGTGACGATGTTCAATTTTCGTCGGAAGAGAGTATGCTGGAGATTCCACATCAACTTGATATATGACCAAATTATAGTATATAATAGGGTACAAACCTTACATTACAGACTGATTTTTTAAGGTTGAGTTAGACTAAAATCCCCTCTAATATAAATAAAACAATAACCAGATCCTGTGTACTTGCTTAATTACTCCTCTTGTAAATGTACAAATCCAACTCCTTCGTCTTCTTTCTCAATCTTGCTACAGTATACTCATCTTTTCCACACTTTAACTTCCAATTTAATTAGTTGAAGAAAATTTTGATGAACGGAGATGAGATTATCCTTTCCCACATCTCAGCACATCCTGGTTCTCTAGCTCCTATGTTTTGTGACGAAAACATGTGCATCATCCAAAAGAAATCCAGGCATAGAGTACAACCAGCAACCAATAGCGAAGGTGGGAATAAGTGAGTTTGACCAGATCCTTCCCCATCCCTTTAAATCTGTTGTTTATGTTTCATGTTAACAATTGAGGCATCCATCATTCTCCTACTCTGTGCAATTTTTTGAACAGGAATGAATTTTGTTCCGATCTCAAGTTGGCTGACAAAGTTAGATTCATACCCCTAAGGTATTTTCCACTTTGGCGTTCACGATTTTATCCCCGGAAAGCACATCAATAAGGTGTTTAAACTATCATTAGTCCATCAGAGATATAAACCAACTAACTAAACTTGAAGAAATTATCAAAATCTGAGAAAATATATATGTGCCTAGAAGCTAATTAATCAGGACAACCCAACCCCGTGTTTTAAAGCTCCACTATGCGCAGGATCCAGAAAAGTTGTTAATGATTGTCAACAATAAAACCTTAGAGAGATGAAGATCTAGCACTAGTATTTTGTTTCACCACTCCCTGAAGCAACACAAAGAACAGCAAACGGGGGGAATAACGATGTTAATTCTGCAGCAAGTTAATTGCAAAGGGGAAGATTAATTTGAAACATGACACAAACCTAGGTACCGGCAAAGGAGGTAGATCCCGCCATTTCCTGGTTTCAGAATCGAGCACAAAAGTATGAGCAGTGGGACCTCTGCACTGCGGGCCATACTGTCCAGTAACCACGTAAATGTATCTCCCATCGGTCACCATTCCCAAATGCGAATGCGCCATCTCTTTCGGCATGTCGAATCTCTCTCCCCAAGTATTGTCACTGAAATTATACACATCAACGTGAGAATGCACCTGCAAGCAAACAAAGAGCAACGAATTGCAATCACAACAATAATTACAACGACGATGATCGAGATTGAAAGCGATAGGAGAGTAGTTGGTTACGTAATCGATAGTGCCGTAGCCGGCAAAGACGAAGAGGAGATTGCGAATCTGAATAGCGGCTCCGTCGAGGCGAGGAACGGGAGCCGGGGCCATCTTCTGCCATTTGAGGAGCGGCGCATCCAAATCGGCGTAAGCGGCGGCGAGGAATCTTCCAGAAGCAGTGGCATTCTGGTAATCTTTGCTGTGATTAATTTTCTCTCGAGGGAGGACCAATGTGGAGGGTTTGGAAGTGGGAAGCGTGGAAGAAGTAGAGGCCCATAGAAAGTCGGCGATGAGAGCGAAACCCAACAAGCCCACGCAGATCACTACCAACTTCGCCGAACCCACCTTCACCGACGCCCGAACCATTGCGATCAATCAAATTAACTCAACTCAACTTCTTCTGCACACACCACTTTGCTTCTTCTTCCATTACGTTTCACTCTCGCACCCACGCCCACGCGTCTTCCTTCACCCTCACTTTTCTGTTCTCTTCGATTTCAATTTCAAGGGTCCTTCCATTCTTTTATATTTTCTCTTTTCCGAAATTTTTTTTTTCTTTATTACTCTTATCAAAGGCTAAAAATTGTTCGGCGTCTAGTTAAAAATATCAATTTTTTTTTTAAAATTACACACAGTTATTAGTTTCTAGAGTTCTTTGTGACTCTTTGTTAATGAGGCAAAACATACACGTTATAAGAAAGTTGACAATTTAAACATTTGTAATAATACATCAACCAATTTTTTTTTCCTCTATATTTTTCTACTCATATTCTATTTTATTTTTCTAATGTTAAATTTGTTTTGATTTTGGTTTATTTGTAACATTCCATGTATTTTGGTTTTGAAGTAAATTATTCAAGATATATCATTGCTTTTACTAACAACTAATTTAATAAGTAACCTAATTAATTTTAATTCGATAGAGTATTATTATATAACTAATATGATTTTTGCAAAAGAAAAAAGATATTTTTATTATAAACTTATGGAAGTTCTATTAACATGTAAGTTTTTTTATAAATATTAATATTATACATCTTTTAAACCAACTATAATTTTTACATGGATCATTTGGTTAAATACGTTTTTTTTCATTTTTATTAGTTTTTTTTTAATTTGATTCTAATAGTATTTAGTGTCAATTTTATTTCATTCTTTGTGAAATTATCAATTTGTCACTTTCCTAGAAAATAAATGATGTCAAATTGATAAGAATGAATAACGATAATACTATGTAAACACCACGTTACAGACAAATATCACATTACAATGTGATATTTATATAAATATCAACATCATGTTAATCCTTATCAATAAATATTACGAATATAATAGAATAATAAAGATAATAAAATAATTATTATTTTAAAACAAAAAGTTAATTTTTCAATTTAAAAAAAATGTAAAAAAAGTGTTTAAAAATTATAAAAAGTATTTTAATTTCATTTTGTAAATGTTTTAAATGTTAGATTTTAAAAAATCATATATTCTCAAGATTATTTTAATACAATATATTTTTTAGAGTAAATAGTATATGTATATCATTTGTTTATAATAAATTAGTATAGAATGAAAAAAAAACTATATATAAACCGTATACTTAAATAAATTAATTAATACCAAATATATTTAAATAATAAAAATATATTATTTATATGATTAATTCTAAATTTTTTTATCGTATAATGTGTTATAATTAATTAATTTTTATAATAACTATTAATTTTTTTCTTAAATATATTTTTATCTCTAAATTTGGGATCCGTCTTTTTCTTAGTATCTTTTATTAAATTTAATTAGTTCCCTTAATTAAAAAAATGTTTTTTAATCCTTTATGGTTTGTTTTGGTGACTTTTAACAATAGGAAGACTAAACATAACATTTTTGCGAATTTGAGAAAAAAAAGGTAAATTTTAATTTGAAAGACCAAAATAGACTGAACTCAAATTTAAAAGTATTTATGTTTTTCCCTTTTCAAGTGATTAAAATAAATAGATTTTATTTGATTGAGTAAAGTGTGGTATAAATTGGTGTATTGTAAATGATTTTTTTTATATATATTTATTATTATTATTATTATTATTATTATTGGCTTCTCTTGCATTTTTCTGTTATATTTAACCCCTACAAAAAAAAGATGTACTTTTATAATTTAAATTTTTCGATCAACTTGATACACACACATTTAAAACAATTTTTTGAAGGAAAGATTTATTGAATGGTGAAGGAAAATCCAAGAAACAAAATAAAGATCAGTTGCAGTAGTAGTGAGATGAACCAATGTTGTCATGGTTATGCACATCACTTGAGTTGTTGTTGCCCTTGCCATCTCCACCATCAGAAGGTCCTTGTATGCTTACCCCACATGCATCAGTAGGACTTGCAGTTGAGGTTGAGCCACCACTGTTGCCACCTCCAAAACCAGTCTCACAATACATTGGATACATGTCATTACCTATCCATTCACCTTTCACTGCTACTTGCCCTTCAATGGGATGCTGTTGTAGCTGTTGCTGTGGATTAGCAAATTGCAGTGGCATATTTGGGGGGCAAGTTCCTTCTTGTTGAGGCATTGCTACAACTTGAGGGTGTTGCATATAGTATTCTGGTTGCATCCTAGAGGGTAGGACCATCTGCTGCAAGTGTCCAAAATTAGGTAATCAAAGCAAGGTGATAGACTACAAAGGACCAGACATGGTGAAGTTTTACCTGGGGAGGCATGGCTTGTGTCTGTGAATGTTGCCAATCAGCAAGTGTAGCTAAATACATTAAATTCTTTTGAAGCTTTTCTTGGTACCTAAGACATCCAAGCATCCACAAATGCACCATTACAAAAACTTGTCAAAGATAGAAACAGTGTAAAATGCTACTTAAAGAAAAGTTTTGTTTCCTGACTTCAGCACAAACTATCCTGTTTTCATTTGTATAACTAAACTGCTTAACTAGCCTAGAACGTCAACCACAAGAATCTTTAATTAACACACAGAAAAGTTTGAAATCCAACTAGGATGTGGCAATGCTTTAATTACCAACAATTCAAGAGAGTGCATTTAAAGAGTCCTACAAATGTGACTCCTCAGTGATCATCAGAAAGATGAAAAACAACCAGACCCAGAAGTTACACAGTATCTTTTTCGTTTCCACAAAGCCATACTCTACATATGAAAGAAAAGAAATGATAGGATGCTGAACCAGAACTAAAATCAGATTATGTTCCCACTGAGTTACCACTAATTAAGTTCAAACCAAAAGTCACAGAACAAATAATCAACAAAATATGCAGATATAATCAAGTGGTCACTTACTGGGCACATATATCAAGATTCCGGAGTCGCATATTTTCGATTATTGCCATAATTAGCTTCCTGTTCTCATCAAGATACTGCATCATGTGACATAACAGGCCATTAAAATTCAAGTGAGAATCTTGATTCTTAAAGGCTATATATGGGTATGTAACATGTAGATCCTGAGAAGTCACAATCATTTACAACAAGCAAAAGAAAATAGGCCTAAAAAATCTAAGGTAAATTATTAAAAAGTTGGCCTAAAATAACAAAGATCAAATGAACAATTCCGTGACATGCTTTTCTTGATGAAAAAGTCTTGCGCTAGCATCAGGGTGATCATAGAACATGAAGCAATTGTAAAGTTTGTGAGTGTGAATTATGCAGAGGCAAAAGATTAACTTCCAAATGCAAATAACATTTCATATACATGGTTTGAAGGTTGATTAAAACATAAAAAAGTGTACCATACCCATTGAACATCATTAGTGGATTTTGTTCTGGGCACTCGAATATTCGGTGGTGACTGATACATTATATTGGGCTTCTTATGTTTCACTGAAATGTATAGATAAAGAGCATAAACCAAAAGAAAGAGCAACAGAGATATGGAACATTGGACAAGGAACAATCATTTTTTAACTTTATTTTGATCCATTATTTAAATCAAAATGTAAAGGATGTGTATTTGGAATAAGATTTCAAAATTATTTAAATTGATTCTAAAAAATATTTTAAAAAAATATGTTAATTGTTACCATATAAATTATTAAAAATCCAATTTATACAATTTTAGTCATAAAGTCTTTTAAAGAATCTGGTAACCTATAATATTTTTACACTGTTTTTAGAATTTGCAAAACTTTGTATGTTTAAATGGTTTTTTAAGATCTGAATTCAATAATAGAAGGAACATAAAGAAAATGAAGAAATTACTATTAGGTAGCATTTGAGAGATGGAAAAATCTTTAAAAGATAAAATTATCAGTCAACAAAGTTTTCCAAATATGATTTCAGTCGTGTTTCCAAAACAAACAAAAAAACTATAAAAAAGTGGCGAACTAAATAAAAATAAAAAATTCAACTAAAAATATAAAAAAATGTTACTAAATATTATTATTAAATTATTTAATTTTATATTAAATTAATTATTCGAATAAATATTTATTAAGAATTAATAAAATTTAGTTATTCCTAAAAATTAAAAATTTTAATATTCATAAATCCCTAAAAATTGAAAAGCTATTAGTAATTCATTCAATTATAATATGGCACCTAAATTTAAATTTATGGGAACAAAATTTCCAAGAAAAAATGTTTTATAGAATGGCTTTTTTAGGAATTTCTTTTTTACCAAAAAACATCTCATAGCATAGAGGAAGGGTGAAAAACTAACTTTTTCTTATCAAAATAGAAATTTATTCATACTATTTTATTAAATCATTCGTTGCAGTAACGAATTAAATATATTAGTGAAAATAAAATTTCCTTTTTAATGTTTAAAAAAATATATAAATATTTTTAGTAATATTTTTTCATCAATCAAAGAAATCATGTTATTCTCATAAATCATAATGTCCAGAAATTATGATTCTTAAAAATCATGATTTTTGTGGAAAAAAAAATTATCTTATAACAAAGGCTCTAAGATTAATTTGTATTAATGATTTTGATATGGTTTTATGTCTCAGAAATTATCCATCATGGAAACAAATTCTTTCACTTAATTGGAATCATAGTCATTCTGGAATTAACGTATTAATTTACTTATTTTAATTAAATATTATATATAATGATAATGATAATTCTTTTTTTGAAGTTAATTACATTACTTGAAACTTTTGGACATGAATTATTTTAATTAGTATTTGATTTATTAGAATTTGAATTATATTTATAAAATATTAAAATTTAAAATAATAAGAAATATAATTAAGATTGAACTCAAAATTAACTACTGCAACTTGCAACTGAACATCAGTTTTGGATTTGTTTTCATTACTCACACACATACGTCACAAATAAAAGTAAATATATAATTATTATTTTATTTTATTTTATGTTTGAATTAAATTTATCAAGTTTAATCTCACAAAAATATTGTTAAATGAACATAGAATTAAGTTAATAACATTTTAATGAGTTTTATATAAAGAAAAAGTTAACCTGATAAACAAAACAATTCAATATAATTATTTAACACGTAAAAATTAATTAGATTAAGTTCCATGAACTCAAGAACTAAGCCCAATTCAGTATATTCTTATTAATAACTTTCAAATTAATTTTTTGACATTGAATTTGATATAATAGTTGAAATACTTAATAATTATTGACAGTAATTTTTGGACATTAAAAATGAACAATTTTGTTTAGAGAAAACACAAATTAACATAAAGGTTCAGTTTGAAAATGATTATTGTTCCTTTTTTCAAGTATTAACAGTTTTTCTATGGATTTTCTTTTTAAAGCTTATCCTATCGTCCAAAAATGCCTGAATTGGAAAAAATTTCCTTGCAGAGCCCTTCCAAATGGCTAAATTGATAACAAGTTAGAGAGAAATTCTGTGGATGAAGAAAAGATTTGCAAACACAAGAAAGATTGTATTCTATTTAGCATGTTGTTAGCATAATCACAATATGCTAGTACAAGTAAGAATTTCCACTGCACCAAACATTACCAAATTTTACACAGCCTAGAAGAGCATGAAGACAAGCAGAAGAACTATACAACAATTTAAGGAGAAAAATAACAGGCACACACACACAACTTTGACTTCTTAATCTATAATAATTTGTCAATGTGATATTCCACCACCACTAATAACAGAGGGGAAAAGAATATAATACTATCTAAGGAGGCCAATTAGAAGATGCTACAAGCATTCTCATTGCACATAAGCGACTGTTAAACTGGTATCACATCATTCTTTGATGCATCTTCACATCTTAAGACTATACCCTCAAGACTAGCTGGAAAAATACACTTGGTCCATTGGCAACCAGTAGTGATAGGATCTGGTGGGGGAACGATCATAAGAACATTCTCATTCCTCTGAACCACCCCCATTACACTTACTGTGCTTCCTTCTTTAATGTACCTGAATACATATACCATGTTATATTATTTCTCTTGAACAATTAGCCTGAAAAGTGAAAATTCATAACTATGTTGCTATATAAGAATAAGATCAACAGGTTAAAACTGATCAGGTATTAAAAATTAATTCACACTTGTTTAGTTGGGATACCCCTTATGGAGCTTTTGGTACAAGACAAGTTTCTTCATAAAACTTGAAAATCATGATTCCTAAGAATTTATAGAATCTGTTTGTTTTCTCATAAATATTTCTGCAAATATTTATACAAGTTCCCTGGAATTCAAGAATGACATGATATTTTTACCAAAAAGTACTCCTAGGAAACAACACCCTTTATGATTTTGTGAAATGTTACTTTTGGAAATATGAACCACACATGAAAACAAATTTGCAGAAAACTAAAACTTTTCATTGTACCAAATGTCTCCTAAATGCACTCATCCAGAGACAGGTAGCATAAATTATCAAAATGCAAGAAAACATGAGAAAAGTTTTACCCTTCTTCCAACCGCATGATGCGGTCATCACTTGAAAGATTCCTCTCTCCCAACCACCGGAGAAACTCTGGTGAAAGCTCTTCTTTGGTTGGATTTACATTGATGAGAACTGAGTCATCAACATAAGGGGTCACTCTTGCTCCGTGACCAGTCTTAACCAATGCCCTTAAACCAGATTGGAAATCCGAGATGTAGAAGTCGACCACGCGCCTCTGTCACATTACATATATTCCAGTCAATCAACAAGTGAAAAATAGCAATAGCAGTCCCTAAGCACAGACTCCTCATGGGGCATTCTTTACTGTTGTGTCCTCTCTAGAACCCAAAAAAGAAAAGAAATAGCAATCCCTAAATATACACTCATGAAGACAATTAAGTTCAATAATCATATATAACAACATAAATAGGTCAATTCAACCTAGAGTGCCATTAAAAGGCTTGACAAGAAAGTCAAAGGGTTGGATCCATCATTCAATACATCCATGCATAAATTTAACCAATCCACCAAACAATGAAAATAAAACTTAATGGAGTGAATAAAAAATCATCAATTTTAATCTAATTCAAATTTTATTATACCATCCATTTTATCTATATACCATTCCATAATAACTAACCCACTAAAAAATCTTAGTAACTTACTTCCAGCAATCTAAGGCCCCAAGAAAACCGGCGGTGTGTAGGATTGGCAGCTTTTGAGTCCCAACCTCGATACTCATATAAACTTGTTGACGTATATACACATCTGGGAACTTTCTGGAAAGATGATTCAAGAGGCACATTACCGCAGGTAACAACCTTTGTATACAACAGCAAAACATATTTGATTAGCCATTTAAGATTGTATTCTAGTAAAAAAAAGATTTCATAGAATAAAAAATCGATCAAGTGCAAATTTCTCATTCACATAATTAGATGTTTACAGGGAAACTATTACTCTGGGAAGACACTGATAGGTATCACCTGAGATGAAACAAAATGCCCTCATCTAATTATGATCCCAAAGCTCATTCAATAAAAATAGAATTATTTTAAACAGCTACGAGTGTGCATTAAAGGCTTTATATCCATGATAAAGATTTGCTCTTATCTTCATATTATTCTTTTTGTGATGACCTCATGTTTCTGAAAAAATTTAAAGCAATGAAATTTAAATATTAAACAGACTCATTCATTCATGTTTGTGGGAGCACCTGATACATAACCATGCTGTACCAGTTTACAAACTTACTACAGGTAACGTTATTTACTAGGAGTCAGTTTTTATAATTGAGAAAAATTAGGGTTCACATAAAAAATGCTTGAAGATTTTCAATTTTTCCTATATGTAAAAAAAAATGGCATTCTTGAAAAGCTACAGTAAATTAAAAGACAAGCCCAAATACTTAGCAAAGAATAACTTATATTGCAAAATCAGAATGATGCAGAGACAGGTGAATTAGACAAAGATTGAAATCATTACAGCATGATTTGATTTAAAGAATTTACTCATAAGCCCAAGAAGAGAAGATAGCAAGGGAAGCAACACATACCCCAGAGACCTTCACAAATTGCCCATTTTTTGCAGTTCTAAGCTCAGAGTCTGGATAACGAGCAACGAAGCCCATAATAGATCTCCTTCCCCAATAAGTATTCCAAGTGAAAGATGCAGCAACTAAGCCAAAAAGAACCACAACTACAATAAGGAGAATGGCATTGTGCACTGCTCCAAGAATAAAACCACCAGCAATGAAACCCATGACAAAAAGCAGAATTAATAACCATAACACTGCCTTCGGAAAATTCCTTCTGAAGGAATACTCATCACCTTGACTAAGAACAGTCACAGCTTGGTTGTGAACAGCAGCGGAACCTTGCATCTTCATTGAACCAGTGGCTTCCAAAGGGCCAGATACTTTCCGAGGGGCCCCAGAAGAATTTAGTGGGCCAGATGATATGGGTCCAGATGTAATGAGACCTGTCGTAGGTAGAACAGGAGCCAGAGGTCCAGAATTTTGACGCCCAACTGGAGTAACTCCCCCAGACTGAGGACCAGAAGACTTTTTAACAGGTTCCCCATGCTTATTCAGTGGCCCAGAATTTGATTTCTTCATTGAAGTCGAACCAGCCATCCCACCAGAAGTCATCGGACCTGAAGTAGTATAGGCTGCTCGTGCTGCAGCATTAGGCTGGATTGGTCCAGAATGTGAGCCAGCTCCTCCAAAAGATCCTGTCCGTGAAGGAGCACCTGTTATTGGTCCAGATTTCCTAGATTTTGAACCATCAACAGGAATATCAAACATTTTCCCCAATTCTCCAGACTTTTTTATGTCTCCACCAGTATATGGCACCGCTGTTGATGTCATTGTTGGAGTCCTTTCTTTGGGCTGCTCCGGCCGCCCTGATACATAGAGGCCATTGCTAAGCTGATGAGATGGGATTCTAGAACTCATCTACCTTCTGTGGGAGAACTCTTGAGAACTCAGACAATAGTAATACCAGAAGTTGGCACTGGATATGTCAAACTGTCAAAGTGATCCTGAAAGATTAAAAAATGATATTACCAAAGGAATTGGAATTATTGTTCAATCAAAATTTGCGGTTTGCAATAAATTTCCATGTCGCCTAGTGAAATCGAAAGGTAACGGAAAGCGCAATAACCACAAATTGAAGAGAGCAAAATTTAATTTTAGAGCAAAGCTCAGCAACTTTGATTCTCAGTTGGAATAAATACTGTGTGAATAGCCAATCATGGCCTTTTCAACATAACGCGTCATGTTTAATATTAACACGCTAATGAGAACATGATATCCCAAAGGTCGCACTGGCACCTAATCACAGAGCAAGAACATCTTGTTTATGTTTTTATCATCACTTTAACCAGAAATAATTATGAAGAACCGAAGTATATGAAAGTCAACTTCCTAGTGTATTTCAATGTATGGACATAACCCAAAAAGAAGATAAAGAGCAAATCAACTCCCCATTGTCATTACACAAAATCAATAAATCTATAGAGTGAAGAAAGACCCAAAGTTCTTGTATAATCACTGACCTATATAAGGGGGCATGTCTACAAATTTTTAGTACACACATTCAATCATAGTGTTAATCTCCTGTCCTCCCATAAACTTCATGTATCCTCCAACCAAAAGTACTCCAATTGGAGATAAATGAGAGGGAAGCTAACACTAAAATTCTAAGATAAAAATTCTGAAGAGGAACAAAGTCCACAAGAAGGCAAGAGAGCTAGTCCAGCGTGGACTTCGGAGCAATGAGTATGTTTTTTTTGAATTGCAGTGTCTTTTCCTTTCCCAAAAAACCCTATACAAGGAGGAAAGTCTAACAATACGTCAACATCCAAAAGAGTCAAGCCCCACCTTTTTTTCAAACTTGTCCCAATCTGTAATCCAGGAAGCAGAGACCCTGGATCCATTATTCCAGATTAAAAACGGAGGAAGTAAACGGAAATTGCTCGAGTTCATACATAATAACAAGCTGGCATTTAATTTTTGATAGATTAAAGAATGCTCCAGGATTGAAAAACCAAATATATTATTGAAAAAACGAAGCTTCCTCGACCATGTTGGCCACCTATCAAGCAGAAAACCAGCACCGAATAAAATAAAAACACAGAAAAAATAAAACTTGCTCGAAAAATGTATGATTTCGCGGAAAAAACTCACACACAGCACCGACGCCAGACACATTGCGCCTCAAAAGTCAAATGTTACTGTCAAGAGTAATGAGAAAAACCAGACCCACATCGTTAGGGAAACGATCTAGAGGATGAAGTTCTGATCTCAACTTTGGGTAGAAGCAATGTGTGTAATAGTCAGAATTCAACACTATTGTGAATTTCTGGGGCATTTTCTCAACACACAAAATGAAAACCCAAAAACACAGTCCCTTGTGTGTTGTGTGTTGTACCATGTACACGAGGAAGGAATTACAGTGGTGAAATTCCCAGTTGGGAGAACAGAACGGAAATGAGAAGGATCTATAAAGGGAGAGTGAAGAAGGGCATACCTACCTGAACTGAAATCTGCAGGCGGAACCATGATGGGTACAATCAACAACGACACAAAGGCAAAAGCAACGAGTCTGAGTCTCTGTCTGAGTGTTACAAAGAGAGAAAATAAAAATAGGTTTCTCGCTCGGAGAATCTAAGGTTGTGTTGCGGTGTGTGAGAGGTCGAGAAGAGAGCCGCAACAAATTTGTGTGTTGTCTGACTCTGGATTTAGCAAACTGACCAAATTTTTCAATAAAAAAAAAAGAAAGAAATGTTATGGTAAATGATAGATTATATAAAAAAAAAAAGGAGATTAAGAAAGTTACTTTTATTTTCACTGTTTTATTTTCCTAATAAACAACGTTTGTTTACTCAATTGCAACAAAACTATTAAACTCTAATAATAATAATACTACTGTCAAACTTTACTACAAACAAAAATAGCTAATTTGTTCTTAATTATATTTATTAAAGACTATATTTGGATTTTAAAACTATTAACATTTAATAGAGTTAAATTAATGATGATTTCATGGTTGGATGCAAAAGGCAATACAACATACAAGAAATGGAAACTATCTTCTGTCGCTGATCGCCCACGGGCAAGGACATGGCCCTACCTTTCCTAACACCCAAACTACCCTTCTTTTTCTTTTTCTATCTATCTAATCACGGATTCTTATCTCTTTTTTCTTCTTTTTTTCCCAATTTCCATTTCATAATTCTAAACCTTCAACCAATATAGCAAGTTTCTCACTTCCAATCTTCTAAATACAAAATATTATCAAGAGAGGATTTTTATTAAAAATAGTTTTTTTTTTTTTTGCTAAAACGTAATCATCGATCATATTAATAAATATTCTATGCCAATAATATCTAATATTAGATTATAAAACATTTGATATAATCCTTTATCAAATGTTTTATAGAAATAATTCGAACTTAACCTGTGAATCTATTTCCCATTTCAACAAATAAAAAAGTCAAACTTCTACATCAACACCAGGTTTCTCATTTAGTAGGATTGAGGGTGTATTAGCCTTTTGGATTTGGATTTTTGTGTATGATTGAATAGCAACATTTTTTCTTGTATGGTTATTCGATTAAAAATTAAATGAAAAAAAAATAAACACTCTTGTAGTTTCTTTTGCAAACCAAAGCTATATGGAATAATAGTTTATTATAAATCAATGATTGGTTTTCAAGTTTTGATTCTATTTCTATATGCATTCAAATCTCCATCATGTTTGTGTGTATAAAAAGAAGTTACTATGTATAATATAAGGACTCAGATCTTATCTAATCAAAATCAAATCCAACCTGTATTCACACATTGTTTTTAAGGTGCAATGGCAATGTCTCATCGCGACAGCCTTAGTCTAACTGTACTTAGGCTGTCCAGACAATTTCTTTTTTATCTTTTGTTTTTGAAATTGTTTTGACTATCATTCTATTCTTCCCTAATGGTTTTATTTTTTGTTTCACCCCTATAATGTTTTACAAAACATTATTGAATGCCAATTTTCAGAAAATGAGTTCAGCAGGGTATGTACAATGACTTGGTTGGTGAGCGAATTAAGTGAAATATAGGAAAAATTTAAGTGTCGGTTAAATTTTGTATGAGTTAAAAATAGAAAAATTAAATAATTTATAAATGAGAAAGATTGGTAATTTAATATCTCTTAGGATGATATCATATTTTTTTATATGATTAGTTAATATTTTGATTTTTTTCTTCATAATTATTAAATTTATAATTCAGAAATAATATTATTAATATTTACCTGACTAGCACTATTTTCATATTTTTTTCAGTAGCATGCTATTAAATTTATAATATAGAAATAACATCATTCTATCAATATTTACCTTATTACACAATTTTCCACTTCACTAATTAATATAATTTTTAAAATAAAATAATTTTTATTAAATATAAATATATATATTTTTTATAGAAAATAAATATATAAGTATTATATATATTTAAAAAAATTTATTTATATAATTATATGAAATAAATATAAATATTTTTTTAAATAACATAAAAATATATTTATATAATTATATTATTAATATATTTTTATAAATATAGTAAAAACAAATATATTTAATATATATATATAATGTTTAAATATTTATTTATATTTTTATAAATATAATAAAATTTAATAAATATATTTTATTATATTGTTACTATATTTTTATAAAAATATAAATAAATATTAAAATATTATATATATATTAAATATATTTGTTTTTACTATATTTAAAAAAATATATTAATAATAGAATTATATAAATATATTTTTATGTTATTTAAAAAATAATATTTATATTTATTTCATATAATTATATAAATAAAATTTTTTAAATATATATATATATATAATATTTATGTATTTATTTTCTATAAAAAATATATATTTCTATTTAATTATTATATTTAATAAATATTATTTTATTTAAAAATTATATTAGTTAGTGAAGTTGAAAATTGTGTAATAAGGTAAATGTTGATAGAATGATATTATTTTTGTATTATAAATTTAATAGCATGTTACTGAAAAAATCTGAAAATGGTGCTAATGAGGTAAATATTAATAGAACGATGTTATTTCTGAATTATAAATTTAACAACATGCTAATGAAGAAAGAAAATCTAATATTTCATTTATAAGAATTTATTTTGTCAATTCTAAAAAATATTGATTCAATTTAAATATGGCTATATCGTTCATCCATATTTATCTAAAAGATACTTATTATAAAATAGATTTTAGATTCACTATTTTTCATAAAAAAAATTCAAATAAGCTTTTCAAAAATACCTCAGACTCAATTTTTCTAAAAATTGATTTCCGATCATTTTTTCAAATAGATTTTGAAAAGATTAATTTATAATAATTTTGAAAATTTATAAAAAAGTGTTGGAAGTCTCTTATTGTCTATCTCGTATCATTTGATATGATTTAAATACATGTTAAGCTACTCTACGTATTGATAACTAATTTTATATTAGAACCTTAACAAAAAGTATATTGGAATTTAAATTATATATGTAAAAAGTTATTTTCAAAATTTATTTTCTAAAATTTGTTTGAATTAATATTTTCGGAATCACACAATTATATTTAGTATTTTATAATCTAAAACTAAAAATATTATATATTTTTTAATCCATTCATATAAAAAAATTCCTGCATTCTTCAATATCAAATTCTCCAAAATATGATTCTATGTCACTAGTTCTAATCTTTTAAATAAATATGGGGAGGAGAGAACAAAAAACATAATGAAAGTAAAATGGGTCCATTCTTAAATGAGAATTAAGAGTGGAAATTAAGCACGTAAACTAAATCCGTATCCCCGAAGAATAATCCGAATATGACATAGAAATATCTAAGGAACGAGATTAGTAATGTAATTTCTATTCCGATTTTATATTTAAAATTAAATTTTAAAATATTAATATTTTAAATTTTTTTTTCTTTTTTTATTACATATAAGATAATTTTTTTATATTTCATCATGTTTATTTTTTTCTACCCACTTCTTAATTTTTTTATTTTTTTTAATTTTTTATATCAATTAGTTTATTACATTGTTTTTTTTCTCTTATCTTTCACTTTTTCATATTTCCTTAATCTCTTCAATTAATTTGTTTTTTTTTTCAATCTCTTCAATCAATTCGATAAACACAAAGTTAATTTTTCTTATTCTTTATTTTTTTCTAAATATTTTACATAAATATTAATAGTAATTAGTATTATTTTATTTATAATTTATCTTTATTAGGTTTTGTTATGTCATAATTTTTATCTTATTATTTTTATTTGTCATATATCAAATTTTATTTTAAAAAATAATTATATTTTAAAGGTTTAAAAAGAATTAATAATTTAAACTTTTATTATTTTTAATTAATTAAATAAGAATTAATTTATTAAATATTTTTCAATATAAATTATATATTTTATATTTTTAAATGACAACTTAAAAAAGAATTAATTTATATATATAATGTTTGAATATAGTATTATAATAATAATATTATAAGTATCAAATATTTGAATACAGTATTATTATAATAATAATAATGTTATAAGTATTTTACATTTATATAAAGAAAAATAATTAAATATTATATATATATACATATATGTATTTGATATAAATATAATAAATTAAAATATATATTTAATTAATAATAATTACAAATTATAAAATTATAAATATTTATTTATGTATAAAATATACATAAATAATCAAATTATTTTATTATAAATATAATTATTATTATTTTTTAAATTATGTAGATTAAGTACGGAGTAGTAATGGAAAAACCTAAATCCAATAAAAACAAGAATATGAATTTAATTTCTAATTCGACAAAAATCAAAGATGAAACTTCAAATGATTAAAAAAATCGAGAACGAAAATCGGAGAGACAAAACCCACGCCTATGCGTAGTGAAAATGGGGGTTGATAAACCTAAATTTCACAAGTAAAAAAATGAGTAGAATAAATAAGCCCAAAAAGTAAGACTTATGGATTATTTGTTTAGTGTCCTATATAATTGTAGACCTTTCGGTTAACTCATGTAAATAAATAAAATAAAAATCTTTAAATATACCTTGATGTTTTAAAAAACTTAAAAGGAGGTTAGTATAATCTAAAATGTGTTTTAGCATAAATTTTTTGAAACTTTTACGAGATAAATGTAGGAAAAAAAAATGCTTACATTTCACAAAACCTGGGCATAGTTAGAATAATTGATGCGTTGGATAAAAACTTTACATTGAATTTTTACTACTAACTGTCTTCGATAATAAAACCATAAGTTTCTTCTTTCTATTAGTCCCTTTCCTTGATCAAATCATAAAATCTCGTGTTTGTAAATCTCTTTATTCACTTACAAAGAGATTAGAAACTAAGTTAAACTTACATGCCAGAAACTATGACACTCTTAAAAGCTAGTGGCTAAAGCCTCTCTCACTCACTCACACACACACACACACACTAACACTAGAGTTTAAGCTTCATACAATTCTCAACTCTTTCAGCCAGTGGGAATGCAAAGGGCATGGATCTGGCTTGCCTTGGGCCGTAGCCTTCTCAGAGAGAGAGTAAAACCAACCATTTCTCCATTTGAACTGCAATGCAAGTATAACCAAGATAAGAACTTGTATAAAAAATATATATATATCAGAGTCATCTTCTGAATCCAATATTTATTTCACTAATTTTAACATTTACCTCCTTAACTGCTGTGGGAAAGTGAGCTACGGCTCTGGAATATGCACATAACCGCTCTTCCATGGCTTCTTCAAATGTTAACCCCTTTTCACTTGCTGCAGCTGATGCTAGTTCTGTTATAAGGCTAGACAGCTGAAAATGGAAATATAAGTCACTTCTCATTTTGGTGTTATTTTTTAGTATTGATTGTTGAATCCATCCTTATTGTTTGTTAAATGACAAACATAGTTTATCTGCAAATTTTTATACAGGGCAACAAATCAAGTTCAGTATCAGGTCATCATCCATTTTGGACAGAGCTCCTTCGGTCCAGCATAAACCATTCAAGCAAATCAGATCCAACAAAATTTAAACATGTTTCATGTTAACCGATTTCACCAGAGACTCAGCAATTTACCAAGCCATTTACCTACTCAAATGTAACCTTAATAGCACATAGGAGTTGATACATGTCACTGAGTAGCACCTTTCAAGATCCAAAAGAAAACATCTCAGAGGAAGGGGGGGAGAGGATACTGATTGCAATCAACAATCATCCCATAATTAACTGCCCAATTTTAATCTAATCATGTACACGTTACATTGTCTTGTAATCAAACAAAAATGTTCTTGATTAAGGTTATCATGTTAAGATAAGTTTCTCCATAAGTATTTGTAACAAAACAAAACAAAAAACAAAATGTGAAATAAGTTTTTCCCATAAACCAAAAGTAACTGGTACAAGTTAAAATCAATTACGTAAAGAAGCTAAATAATGTTAACCTCTCTAAAAATCTGATTTTAACTTATGCATAAACTTACTTCATCTTATAGGAAAATTATTTCTTTTATCTTTCTTATTCTTCATATAAGTGTTTACGAAGAATATAATCGCACAGGGTCTAACAGAAGAAGCAGATGAATTTAGAGAAGATGTCGATTGCAAAGCTTACTTCTGTGCGGAATTCCTTTTCCACGACACCAACAGAAACCCCTCCATGACGTGCTCCAACAAGCATAACAGAACAAATCCATATAAGCTTCTCCAACATCTGCTTTTGAAAAGCCTCCTTGTCAAGAACCTGGCTTTTGTGACACACATCAGTGTGTGATATGTATGTCAGACGTACAAAGATGCCCTACAACTTCAATCTTGATTCTAAGCAAACTAATAAACAACACGAGAATCAAAACACTTGAACTCCCAAAAATAAAAAGAAGCCCCTTCAGATATTTTTTTCATTCTAGTCCCAATTTTGTTAGGTGTTTTCATAACAGTACTCAGAATTGAAAGATGCCAAATAAAATTCTAAAATTAAAATTATTAACATTTGAGTCCATGATAAATACAACTTACTACATAAATTTTAAAAGAAGGACTAATGCGACAAACTGATTAAATTTTTAAGATTTAGTTAACATTGTGAACATGATTGTGACCAGGAAATGGGTGTTTACTGGTTGAAGAAGAAAAGATGAAGATAGATATTATGCCACCTTGCAAGAGAGGCCTCCAGCATTTAATCTTGCAGCCACAACAGAAGCCCAGTTTCCGTATGCAGCAGTGAGTCCTTCAGGATTGGTATCAGTCCTTCCATCAACAGGGGCTTCTCCAATTTTCGACACAGCAAAATAAGCCAACACTTGGTTTGCATCCTTCAGCCGTTTCCTCTCAAGCCACTCCTCCACCATTCCATTCTGGAAAAATACCAAATCTGCAGCACCATTAAAAACACCTCAACAACATTGTCCAACCCAATGATGAAATCAAACCAAAAGGACTCACCTTTCCATCTAGAAGGAGGTGTAGATTGAAGCACAGACTCGAGATCATCGTTCCTCGTGCACACAAAAATGGGGCCTTCAAAATCGAGGGGCACGGACTCTCCTCGGCGAACGAGGAGGTCTTTGCCGGTGCCCATGTCTTGCAAAGCCCTTCCCACTCTTCCGCCGCCAACAATGACGGCGGGAGCCACCTTGGTAGGAGGGGTGGTGACGGAAGTAGCGGCGGTGGCCATGGCGGAGGGTGTGAATCTGAAGGTGGTTGTAGTTGCGGGAGAAATGGAGAAAGAGGGGGAAGTGACTACTCAGTGGCGCCTGAGAGAGTGAAGATCATCGACATGGTTAAGTTGTGTCGTGTTTGTTTGTGGAGCTATTTTGTGCCGTGTTTGTCGACATTCATTCAATCATTCCCAATCACAAGTTGCACCACTCCTTCCATATTCTGGGTGTTAGGAAAAATAGACATAACTTTTCGATGTAGTCATGAAATAAAAATGAAATAAAGAAGGAATAATTGCACACACCAATTGATAACGGAGTTAGGCCAAAATTGCTTACGTCTCTGGACTACTGTAGATATTTTACTGGGAGAAAAGAAAATACACAGGTGTTTACAAAGTACTCTCAAACACTCAACCTTCAACCCAATTACACCCAGAAGCTAGATTATTTCTTTCTGCTTCATGTTGACTAACTCTTGTAATGGTTCCTTTGGAATTGGATGATGGAAATGAGTGAAGTGAAAGAGCATTTTATAGCAAAAGGAATGGTTCTTGTGCATTTAAGACTTTCCAATTTTTCTTGTCTCCAACCACTTGCCATCCAACCACTTGCCAACCAATCACTTGCCACCTTTTTTTGACTTTTCAAACACCAACAATCTCCCACTTGAGGACTGATTTCAATCTGTCCTCACACCTTGATTAATGCAGTAGTCTTCTCTGGTCTGCTACTCTTGCAAGCCAACTGAAGTTGAGCACAACTTCAGTTTATCAATGGTCACCACCTTCGTTAGCATATCTGCTGGGTTCTTGCTTCCTACAATCTTCTTCAATGTTAACACCTCATCCTCAAGTAGAGATATGATGAAATGATAACGAATATCAATGTGCTTGGTTCTGGAGTGAAATACTGAATTCTTTGCTAGATGTATTGCACTCTGACTATCACTATGCAAAACACTCCCTTCTTGAGTGAATCCTAGCTCTGCTAATGATCCTTGAAGCCATATCAATTCTTTACTGGCTTCATCATCGCTTACATACTCGGTCTACGTAGTGGATAAAGCAACAATTTTTTGTATTCGCGACATCCAACTAACAGTATCGTAGTACCAACCGTGAAAACATAACCGGTGGTGCTTCTTCGGTGATCAACTTCACCTCCAAAGTCCGCATCTACGTAGCCACTGTAATCTTAGATTTCTTTTTCCAAAACATAGACATTTTTTTGTTGTTCCTCGTAGATATCTTAGAATCCACTTGACGGCTTCCCAGTGAGCCTTTCCTGGATTTGCCATAAACCCGCTCACAACTCCCATCTGCATGGCCAATGTCCGGCCTTGTACGGACCATTGCGTACATCGGACTTCCAATGGTTGAAGCATACGGAACCTTAGCCATAATTTCTTCTTCTTCCTTTGTTTGAGGAGACCGATCCTTGGATAGACGAAAATGACCGGCCAAAGGTGTATTGACTGGTTTGACCTTGTCCATGTTAAATCTTTGCAAAACACGGTTGATGTACTCCTCTTGAGATAACTGCAAAACTCCTTTTTGCTTATCTCTCGTAATTTGCATTCCAAGAATCTTCTTTACTGGTCCTAAGTCCTTCATGTCAAATTCCTTTGACAACTGCATCTTTAAATTTCTGATATCCCTCATATTTGAACCTGCTACTAACATGTCATCAACATAAAGTAGCAATATGATATAACTTGGACTTATACCTCTTGAAGAAACAACAGTGATCGACATTGCACTTCGGAAATCTTCCTTGTGCATGAAGCTTTCAAACTTCCTGTACCACTTGTCTTGGAGCTTGTTTCGGATCGTACAAGTTCTTCTTCAATTTGCACACCATATCCTTCTTTCCTTCTGAAAATCCTTCAGGTTGGTGCAGGTAGATCTCCTCATCTAAGTCTCCGTGGAGAAATGCAGTCTTCACATCTAATTGCTCTAGGTAGAGCTCTTCACTAGCCACAATACTTAACATTATTCTGATAGTATTGAGTTTTACGACTAGAGCAAAGATTTCAGTGTAGTCAACTCCTTCTTTTTACTGAAATCCTTTGACAACTAGTCGGGCTTTGTATCTCTTGGAACCATCATGGTCTTCCTTCACCCGATACACCCATTTGTTGTGAAGTGCTTTCTTCCCCATGGGTAACTTGACTAGTTCCCATGTCTGATTGGAGATCAAAGACTTCATCTCTTCTTTCATGGCAAACTCCCACTTGCTAGCATCTGTGGTTTGACAAGCTTCTATATAATCTTCGGGCTCCCCTCCATCAGTCAGCAACATGTAGTCCATGTATCTCCTGTTTGGCACATGAGGTCTAAAGGACCTTCTCAATACAAGAGTTGGAGTAAGAGGTTCTGGTTGCACATCACCTTCTTCAATTGATTCCTCTGACTGAGGACTTCTCACTATAGGATTTTCTAGGACATCTTCCACTTCTGCAAAAACGGGCCCACTCGATTCTGAATTGCTAATACCTGTTTTATGCATGTCCTTGTACAACACTCTTTCATTGAAGATTACATCTCTTTTGCGGATCATCTTTTTGTTTTCATCATCCCATATGCGGTAGCCATACTCATCTTCACCATAACCAATGAAAGTGCACTTCTTTGATTTTGGATCAAGTTTGTTTCTACCTTGATCACTCATATGGACATATGCTACACAGCCGAAAACTCTAAGATGTGAGAGTTTTACCTCTTTTCTACTCCATACCTCTTCTGGTATTCCGTGCTCCAATGGTACCGATGGACTTCGGTTGATCAAGTAAGCTGCTGTGTTAACTACTTCTGCCCATAACTGCTTTGGTAAGCTTGACTGTACACGCAAGCTTCTGGCTCTTTCAGTCAACGTTCGGTTCATACGCTCAGCTACACCATTGTGTTGAGGTGTACCAGGCACGGTCCTCTCCATTCTGATTCCGTGCTCATAACAAAACTTCTTGAATCTGGTGTCTACATATTCACCACCATTGTCGGATCTGAGCTTCTTAATCTTCAATCCTGTTTCATTTTCTACCATAGCTTTCCAAATCTTGAAAGCTTCAAATACTTCTGACTTGTGTTTCAGAAAGTAAACCCATACCTTTCTGGAGTGATCATCGATAAACGTCACGAAGTATTGCTTCCCACCAACGGATGGGACAGTCGTTGGACCCCAAACATCGAGTGGACAAGCTCAAGTCTCTCTTTCTTTGGAATTCTTCTATTTGTCCGAAAGCTAACTCTCTTTCGCTTTCCAAGTATGCGGTCTTCACACATGTCAATTTCTACTGATCGAAGACATGGTAGTTTTCCTTTTGAGTGCATGATCTTCATCCCTTTCTCACTCATATGCCCAAGTCTTTGGTGCCATAGATTGGGATTTTCATTTGTTGCAACTGCAATCAAATGACATGCTCCTGCAGTCTTGTAAAGAGTACCACTCTTTTTGCCTCGAGCAATTGTCATCGCACCCTTTGAGATCTTCCAATCATCACCGTGGAAGATTGTTGTGTAACCTTTACTGGCTAACTGACTCACTGAGATTAAGTTCTTCGTCAGGTCGGGAATATGTCTGACATTTTTCAATTCCCATACAGACCCGTTCAACTTAATCTTTACTGTACATTTACCTACAATCTCACACGATTGCTCATTACCAAGGTAAACTTTACCAAGATTTCCGGGAACATAATTCTCGAACAGTTACTTTTGTGAGGTAGCATGGAATGATGCTCCAGAGTCTAACACCCAAGACTCCTCCTTGCTCTAAAGAGCATATCAACACATCATCTTTCCCTGAGGTAGAGACAACGTTTGCCTCGTCCTTCGCTTCTTGATTCTTTCGTGCATTCTTGCACTGATTTTTGTAATGTCCGGTCTTCCCACAATTCCAACACTCGATTTGCTTCGAGTTTTGGGAACTACGATGATTTTTGGACTTGGATCGTTTGCCCTTTGATTTTCCGCGTCCGCTTTCTTTGGTTGAACTTCTTCCTCTTGACTCTGTATGCAATACTGAAGAGGTTGATGATTCACCCGACTCCCTCCGCCGGATCTCTTCACTGAGAACCAAATTACGAATATCATCAAATTTTAACTTATTGCTTCCCGATGAGCTACTCACAGCTGTGACAGTAGCATTCCAACTTTCTGGTAGAGAAGACAAAAGTATCAAAGCTCGTACTTCATCATCGAACTCGATCCCAACTGAACTCAACTGAGTTGTAACAGTATTGAGTTCATTGATATGTTGCATCGTTGAAGCGCCTTCAGACATCCGTAGATTGAACAACTGCCTCATCAAATGAACTTTGTTTGAGGCTGATGGTTTCTCGTACATACTGGAAAGAGTATCCATAAGACCTGCTGTCGTCTTTTCTTTTGCAATGTTAAAAGCAACATTACGGGATAACGTCAGTCGAATGACTCCAAGGGCCTTTCTGTTGAGAAGAGTTCATTCCTCCTCTTTCATACCCTCTGGTTTCTTTCCTGTGAGTGGTTCGAACATATCCTTCTGATACAGGTAATCCTCGATCTGCATCTTCCAGAACCCAAAGTCCGCACCATCGAACTTCTCGATTTTCACCTTTCCTTCATCTGCAGCCATCACTCCAACTCGGATCTGACTTTTCTGGATCATTTCTGACAATTTCTGTGAACTACCGTGTTTCGAAACACGTCTGTAGATAATTTTGCAGCACCGGCAAAATTTTTACTATTCACAAAATAGTAAATTCACTATTCATATGAATAGTATCATCACAAAAATTGCAGAGTTAACAACCAGCTCTGATACCAGTTGTTAGGAAAAATACACAGAACTTTTCCATGTAGTCAGATCTATGAAAGTGAAATAAAAATGAAATAAAGACGGAATAATTGGACACACCAATTGATAATGGAGTTCGGCCAAAATTGTCTACGTCTCCGGACTACTGCAGATATTTTACCGAGAGAAAAGAAAATACACAGGTGTTTTCAAAGCACTCTCAAACACTCAACCCTCAACC